GCATTGAATTGTGTACCTGAAAGTGCATTGCCATCTATTATCAGGGTGGAAAATAACCAGAAAGTCAAGTTAATTAGTGTTCTAGATACCTTACCTTCTATTACAACTAGGAGTCCTGTTATGATTGAGAGGCTTGGTATTAGGCCAGAGTACCTAAACATGGAACATGGAGGAAGCTTGTCCCGGGGGAAAACTGGCCCTGAAGGAAACAGGAAACTTTTTGGTCATGAGCAAGTGTCAACAATGTCTCAAAAGGTTGTAGCACGTATGTTGACTGGTTTGGGTTTGAGGCTGCCATGGAAGGTCCTATAGAAGTCTTCTCTCAATTAATGAGCTGTCATATCAGTAAGTTAGGCAAAACTTTGAGAGTGCTTACTGATAATTACAGAAAGCAGTGTTCAGCCATTGAACTTCTGAAGATGTTGCTTAAAACATCTGGTTATAGGTATTTTACTTTTGTTTTTTTTGTTTTTTCTGTGGAAAGTTCAACTTATTGACCCCCCCACCCCAAAAAAAAAAAAAAGAAAAAGAAAAAGATGAAGACGGATTTTTTCTGCATGGTCTTAATGTTTATGAAATTAAGTTTTATATCCCAAGTTTTCACCTGCAATCTACATTATCCAACATTCATGTAGTAACTTCATAAAAATGATGTGGACAATTTACTCTTGCATATTTGTATATTTAGATCATTCCTTTCTTGAATATATTCCGCAGGCAATTGGTGTGTGGCCAAAATATTTTTTTGCGAGTAAGATGTGCTATTATTCTGTTAAAACATGTTATATAAGAAACACAATGAGTAAATTATGGTTTGAGAAGTAGAGGAGCATATGACAGAAACTATTACTCTGTACACTTTCCCATGGCAAATTGTAGGATTTATGCCACCCTTGAAAATAAAGAAGAAGAAAAAAGATTCTAAAGAGGATAAAATTTCTAAAGGGTATCTTGATGCCCTTTATACATGTGCGATTGGTTGTTGCAAGCTCTTATTTGTGATGTTTCACCCCGATTAGTATTTATAAATCAAGACAGGATTAGTATGTTATGATTTTAACATTTTCTCCTACTTTCTGTTAGTAACTTTGAGCCATTGGTGGACCTCGTGAAGGCTGGCTCCAAGAATATGCTGCAGCAAAGTCTACCACAAAATCATGGTATCCAGTCACAAGTGCAGCCACAGCAGCAGAGTGCTCTTCGAATACCTCAGCAAGTACTTGCATCTACATCTACATTCAATTTTTTGTCCTTAATGTACTTGTTTTGAAGTATGGACAGAAATGTGGACACATCCAAGAAAAGCACATGCTGATATAGGGTGCTTTAACGAGTGCCCTTTTCAAAAATAACTACCCTTGCCAACATGTTTTTGTTTTTCTCCCTTATTATAAATTGTTTTCCAGGATTATTAGCATCCTTTCGAAAAATGATTTGCCTTAAGTTGCAGGTGTCAATAATTTATCGAGCAAGCAGTATCCCCTAGTGTCTATGAGGGAGATATCACATAATAACCTTCCTGAGTTTTTAAATTTTGGTATATCCTATTAAGAAATATGCTATCTCAAGTCTATAATATAACAGTTAGTTTGACATTCAATTTGGTCCTAAATATAAGAATCCAATCTACTTTGTCTCTCATATTTATCTTTTTTTTTTTTTAGTAGTCCTTACAATAGTTGCACATGTTAAAAATTTCATCAAATGGTAATTCTAACTAATACATATGATTAGCAAAGATAATTTAGGAAACAAAAGTTATTACAAATAACTAACGTAATTAATTTTCTTAATCTACTCAAATTAGTTAACTAGTTAAATTCAAAATCTGCATTTATTGCATCCTTTGAAGGAGAATTTGTACTGATTTAAAATGGGTTTCTGGATCCTTTCTGGACCTGAGTTTTTACTTAATTGTGCACTCAACACACATTGCATTATACATTACCATATATTTCTATATACTTATCAAGATATTCTTCTCTGCAAACATGATCTGACATGTATAATAACTTATCGGTTGTTGTTCATGTACAGATGCCAAGACTGATGCATCCGCAGATGCAGCAGATTATTCATTCAAATAATGTGGCTTTCCAACAACAGCAACAACAACAGCAGCTAGAGAGAATGCGAAGGCGCCAAGCACCTACCCCCCGCCCTGTTGTGGATATGGATAAGGACAGGCCACTGGTTCAAGTTAAGCTTGAGGCCCCATCGGACTTACCGATGGATACCAACACCTACAATGCCATTAATGCCAGACATCCTCAAATGCAGTTCAGGCAGCAGCAATTGGCTGCACTGTCAAGTTTCCATTCCCAAGCTAACAATCAGTTCAGACAAATGGGTTCCCCGCAGATTCCCTCAATGCAGTCACCGTAAGAAAACTCGTGCAGTTGTGCTGAAGGATTTCTGTCATTTGGTTAATATTTAAGTGATCTTATGTTTAAGAGTTGTGTTATTTTACCGTTTGCCTGTAGGAACATGACCATGGTTAGAGCGCCACCAGTGAAGGTGGAAGCCTTCCAGGAGTTAATGGGTGGGGATTCATCTTCAAAGCACGAGTCAGAGGAAAGCAGACTGACTTCACCCAGTGGTAAATAGCTTGCGTTATAGTAAGTTGATCTGGGCGCACAAATCCATGGAGGCCCTCAACTTGGGCTCTCTTTCATACTTCGTTTTTGGCCCTTACTGTACAACAGCTTTTGCACCAGTTCATTTTTTGTATATCATCCCACAATGCTTCAGTCAAGTATCTCGAGGATTTGTTCCTCGAAGTATTTCTCCTGTAACATGCACAAATTCTCTACAAGGTTGCTCTGTAATTATTTCAAGTTTTCAACATCAGTGCAATGGTAGTGGCACAATTTTGATGCATTTGCTTGCACTGTTCACGTGGTTCTGTACAAGTTTAAGTGGTGCATGTAGCACCGCCTCCTTCAATGTTGATTTCATGTTTTAAGATTCAAGGTAACGACATGAAAGTTATCCTTGCTAGGCGAGGCTATACTACCAGTCGTCATTAGAAGTTGCTGTATTGTGCACATCTACTATGGCATTTGATGCCAGTTTTAAGAGACGAAGTTGTCTCGCACATGTGCTGAGTTCTCTTGAGAATGAGATCATAAGCCATGCTTGCATCATCTGTCAAGCCCAGTGGCGTTTCTTTCCTAAATGATCGTCTTCACTGATGACACCGGACGAAGTGGTCTCGCACCTGCGCCTGCTGAATGATTCGCAGTGTTATTGAAAGCACTACTCGTGTTTCAGTAAACTGCATTTAAAGGAAATAGATAATCCAGCCCTTCTTTGTCTACTTGACAGAAAATCCATTTAGGTGGGCTCGCTTACATCATTTTCTCAATTCTTGTCCTTGTGTCTGTAATACTCATATTTACAATTCTTCCTTGTTATTAAAGAGGTGCTGGCGATGGTGCTTGAGCCCCTGGCTATTCTACTAAACGGAATAATCATCTTTTCCGTTGGGGAAAAAAAATAAAAATTTTAAAGCAATAAAAAAAAAACGAGCAGACTGGAAGAGATAAGAGGATCGTTGGGCACCACTACTTAGGCTTGGGAGCTTAGCGGGGTTCATGGTTGTGGGCCCCTCATCCTTGCAAGCGTCTTTCGGAGTTCCTATACCGACTTTGATGCCTCGTTTGACCAAAAAATTGGGAAAAAAAAACTAAAATACACATTTAGTCTTTTTATTTCACATTAAGTTTCAATTTGATCCTTTAACTTTAAATTTAAAAACGATATATTTGGTTCTTTAATCCTAAAACTGTTAAGTTTAAATGATGATTTTTTGTAGATCGTTTTGAAAATTAAATTTTATATATTAGTATTTGAGAATGTTTTGTCAAAATTTAATATCACAATATCATCATTTTTGTTAACAATTTAAGAGTTAAAAGGTTAAAAGTATACTTTTTAAAGTTAAGAGACTAAATTAAAATTTTTTATAAAGTTAAAGGACTAAATATATATTTTAACAAAAAAAAAATCTACGCCTCGCGGAACTACCCAACCAGTCGGACCCCCTTTTCGTGCGCTTCTGATAACTTATATGTTAAATTATGATTTAGTTACTCAAGTTTGTAGTCTATCAAATTTTAAATTATAATTTTTGATCCATTAAAAAGATAAAATAATTTAATTTTTATTAAACTAATATTTAAAAAAAACTTGAAGAATTAAAACCTATGATTTCAAACTAAAATGAGTAAAATATACTAATTTAATAGACCAAATATTGTATTTATCCTGAATTTATTCATAATTTCATATAGCATGTTCAAGTTGATTTTGTTCCGGACAATTTAGGACGTTATGTCAATATCATCCAACTTTCCAAAAAAAAGAAAAAAACCATAACATCAATGTTTCGGACATTTGAACATTTTATTTATCAACTACTACCATCCGATTTTAATTATAAAATCTTATTTAAAGATTATAAAAAGATTTTATAATTAGAACAGAAAATGATATAATTTTTAAAGTAATCTTAATTAATATTTTTTAATTCTAAATATAAGATTTATTTTGTAATTTAATTATAAATTTTAATTTAAAACCGGAGCACTAATAAAATCGTACGAATCTGGGCGGGAAGAAAGCGTGAGCCATCAGCCATCAAAATAAAAACAAAGCTTTCATCCTCGAACGGAGAGAACAGAGCTCTCCCCCATATTTTCCTCTGTGCATGTACGACAAAATAAAGGACACCCAAGAAGTAAATCAACTCATTCATCAATTTCAGTCTCATAAGTCAATCCAACTCATTTATCGGCTTTAACCGCTCTTATTCTCACCTTACATAAATGATTAATAATCAAAGATAATATATAATGATACAGCTTAATCATCTCTGTAAATAAGATTCAGGGTAAATAATAACAAGAATAAGACGAAGAAACCATAACAAACAACTCGTGATAAGCAATCCTAGGGCGTAAGGTGAATAACACTCCCATAAACTCACTAAACGCAGTTTAATATCTCCTACAACCTCCATCTTCAAGCTTAGCATTTCTGTAGTTTCTGAGGTGCTTTATTAAATCATCCACATACTCTTCCTGTCTTTCTCTATTCACAAACGAGTCCTTCATCTCTCTTATCTTTTCCCGGTAGATCCTTCCTTCTTCTTTCACCATAACCAGCCTCAGCGACTCAGCCACCGACTCACTCTTGAAAGACCCGTCTCGCTCATCTCTTGGTATCGAGTATCCCATCTTCTTCTCCTCCAACACCCTCGCGTTCAGTCCCTGGTCTGTCAAAAACGTCAGAAGCACAAGCGGCTTCTCATTCTGGATCGCCTCCACCACCGACGTCCAACCAGAATGAGTTAAGAACCCACCGACGGACTCGTGGCCCAATATCTTCAGCTGCGGCGCCCAACCTGTGCACACCACGCCGCGACCATGCGTCCGTTCCTCGAAACCTTCCGGCAGCCGCAAAATCTCCGGGTCGTACGGCCCACGTTGAGTCCTCAGCACCCAGAAAAATGGTAGCTCCGACTTCTCTACACCTAGAGCTATCTCCCTCACTTCTTCTTGGCTGGGCTTCGCTTCGCTTCCGAATGCCACGTAGACCACTGTGCCTCTGTTTTGCTTGTCCAGCCAATCTTTCATCCACCGCCATGCGTCGTTTTCGTTCCCACCGTCATAGGCCGTGCTGGGAAGTTGGCCAACGGCTAGAACTGGTTTCTGATAAAGGTTTTTGAGGACCTGAATCCATTTGGGTTCAAATTCGTAGCAACTTCTTACTATTACTATGTCGGAGTTTTGGACAGACGCGCCGATACGGTATGCATCTGAAACATCCCGGTTCCCGACGGAGAAACTGTCTGCGAATATCCTCATGATCTCAAAGTAACGAAACGCTACGGTGGTGGGGAATGGGATCCACGGTGGCGGAACTGTGAAGCTCTCGGGTTTTTTCCTCATAGGGTCGGAACTCATCAAATCCGAAGGAGGTCCCAGGAAAGCCATAACCGGCGACGGAAATATGGGGAAGAAGGCAGACATGATGCCCAGTTTGGAAGCAATGGATCCGACCCAGTAGGGAGCGAAGTCGTGAAAGATCCAATCGGGTTTGGAAGATTCAAGAAACAGGGCCATGGGTTGTTGGAGTTCATCGTAGGCTTTCTTGAGAAACGTCACCATGTTGTACGGAATATCGGTGGTGGCCTCAGCCTTATTAGGAAGGTCGTGGACTTTGGGTAGGGGAAGCTTGACGAGTTTGATGAGAGGAGCCAAGTGAGGAGGTAGTTTTGGAAGGCGATCGATGTTCCTTGGGGTAGAAACGAAGCTGACAAGGTGACCCTTCTCAGCTATGAGCTTGGCGAGCTCAAGGTTGGGAATGATGTGGCCAAAGGCCAACCATGGGAAAATGACTATGTGAAGCGTCTTGTCTTCCGCCATGGTTGCGGCTTAGCTTGGGTTGCATATGTTCGAGGAATTCACGTATAGGACAGCGGAGGGATACCTCAAATAAATATGAACCAGTTCCACTTATACTACCTCCATAACTAATTTGAGAAAATTAAACAAGTAAGTTGAGTTAGTTATTTGTCTTAAATAAGTGTTGTCTTTTCTAAAATATCCTTACTAATCAAGTGTATTAACTAGAATTATAATTATTAGAAGGACTATCTTGGAAAAAACTAAGTAAACATGAGAAATAAAATAGATTGGGGTATTATATTTAGGACCAAAATAAAAGTCAAATAGGGTCTTATATTAAGGATCAGAGGTAGTATCTTATTTGAATATTTGAGTAGTTTAGATTTAAAATTTTTAATTAATTATTTTCTAAAAAAATAATAGTTAAAAAATTATCACTGTTTTAGATTCTATAAATATTAAATTAATTGTTTTGAACAAATAAAAAAAAAAAAAATCTTTCAAATGAGATATAGATGATTAAGATTTAATGAGTTTAAGTGCTCATTAAAATGATAACTATTGAAACTCATTTTCTTTCATCTTTTATCTTATTACGAATATTTCTTACTCTTATTTACTATATATATGGTCAAATATTATGCTACCTCAAAAAGTTAATTTATTTTTAAAAATTATATATATTAATTAAAATTACTATTATTTGGTAAAACTCTTTCTAGACTCGTGAAGAGACGGGACTCTTTTGGCTTTCCCCAAAGAAAAGACCAAGCAAATCGAAAAAAACGTGTTTTTTGAGACAAAAGAAGCTTAGTCAAGAGGGTCCCGGCAAAGTCCTTATCCTTACTTAACCTCCTCTGTCCTTCCTTGATGAAATGGATGCCGTAGGAAAGGTTGGGAAAGAGGGCATTAAGTCAAATTAGGAATCTTGAACGGATAGAGGAGGGTGATCCCCCCATCAGAATAGGCATTGGAGTCTGCTTTAACCAACAGGGGAGTGTATTTCACACTTTCCAGATAAGATAGAGCGGCAATAGACAGGTTTTTAGAGTACTAAATGTATACTATAACTTAAATTTAACTAAGACCTTACATTTTACATCAAAACTAACCCCCTAGTTAGCTTTTGCATTTAAGACAGAAAAAGTATTATTTACTGTATATCCAGGTGGGGCAAATACCCTAATATTTATAAGCATATAGTATTAAAGTTTCATAATATGTCCATAAATCATGACTTTATTGGACTCAATATTTAACCAAACTAAGTCTACAAATAATTAAGAATGTACCGAAATCATACTATTTCATGTATATATATATATATTTGTTATACATAGGTATCATCCTATTAGATACAATTATATTTGAGATATTATTAGACACTAAATATAAATATATCTTTAAACAAAAATTTAAATCTTAGTTCAAATGAGGGACTAGTCTCTTCTACTATACCAAATCCCATTAGTTATTTCACAAACACGTATATTTTGAAACAGGACATGGACGCACAGAATTATTGAAAGAGTGACCCGCCACGTGTAAAAGTTCCTCAATTTATTGCATTTTCCTTCTCCTCTCCCTCGTATAGGGCTGAGCAATGGGCGGGCTGGGTTAGCTCAAGGGTTAGCCCATAACCCGCCCATTTATGAATAAACGGGTATGGGCTAGCCCATAACCCGGTAGTAGCCCGTTTTAGCCCGTATTAAATGGGTTGCGGGGCAGCCCGTTTGGGCTGACCAGGTTATGGGTAACCCATTTATTTTTCTACTCTTTTTTTTTTTTTCAATTTTTTCAGCAAAGTATAATCTTATGAAGCAGTTAATAAATTTTGCATACCAAATAGCAAATCAAATATAAAATAACATCACATAATACCAACTACATTCAATTACACAACTTCATTTAGAGTCACAAACAATCAAAGCCTAATAAAATAAAAAAAGTAGCCACCACCAATCATAATAAGTCATAAACAGAATAATAAATCCCAACATTTAAAGCGGAAGTCCAAAATGAAAGAACAATAGAAGTCAAAAACAAAGTTTAACCGAAGCTACCGAGAAGCTGCCGTGAAGGAGAACTGGAGAAGTTGAAGCCGAAGTCACAGTTTTAGTGAGCTACCAGGCACCAGTGACAGAGACCTTTCACCTTTGCTTCAATCTTCAACAGATCGAAGGACGCCACCAGCGACAGCGGCCTTTGTCTCAAACTCGAAGACAGCAAGACTCAGTACAAACAGAGCTGGGCAAAGCGACAAAGCTGAAATCTCAAAGCGAAAATCAGAGCCTCACTCTCTCACTCTCTCGCAGACGAATTGATTAAAGTCCATATATAGATCGCTGGAGCTCGAAGCAAGCTGGGCAATTGGCTCGAAGTTGATTGGCAGAGACGCAGTCACACAGAGTCGCAGAGTGACAGAGCGAAGGCGGTGGAGCCGTGGAGCTATGGAGCGGCAGTCGGCAGAGCAAGTGAGTGACACTGAGAGAGTCGTTCAGTCGAGCAATTGAGAAATGCCGTCGCTCGCGACCTCGCGTCGCGTCTCGCCGTCGCCGAAATGGAAACTGGAAATCTGGAATGAACTATGATTGAAATGGATAATGAGAGATTGAATGAAAGGCTCAAACTCAACGCAGCTACTAGGTCTATTGTAAGGAATAAAAATATTTTTTTTTAAAAATAAAACTTAAATGGGCGGGTATGGGCAGCCCGAAGCCTTACCCATAGCCCGTCCCGTTTAATGAGCTGCCCCGCCTATTTAAGTTAGCCCGTTTATTATCTTCTATTTGGACTAATTGGGCGGGCTTTAATGGGCAAAAAATTATTGGGTTATGGGCGGGCTAGCGGGTTATGGGCTATTTGCTCACCCCTACTCTCGTATGCGTATGTGATCCTCTTCTCCAAAGGTTCCGTCTTTCTGATTTGTCTCCTACGCGTACTCGACTGTCCCATTGTGACTTAACCAGACGACATGGCATGGTATGGCAACTATAAATGTAGTAAATGAAATTAGGCATAAACAAGGCAAGAGCCTTTTATTTTTAGTGGATCACTTGCCACTGGTCCGGTCTCAGCAAAACGAGGACCTCCTCTCCAGATTCGCTTCCTTTGTTTGGACCTTATTCTGTCACTTTCTATGCCCTTTCTGCCATATTTCACCGTTGCTCCCATTTCCTTGTGTTTATGAGCACTGTGACTGCATAATATTATAATTGCCCATTTGAATCTAATACCTGAGTATATGTATATTTTATTATTATCATATTTCCTAAATCTGCCCTTGAATGTTGCACTTGGTGCTTTTGTTGAAAGATTCAAATGGCAGAGAATACGATATTGAAAAAGCTGCAAAACAATTTGGTCGAGTCCGCAGAACAATTCAAGGGAAACAGTTTCGAACTCATAACTTCCCTGTCAAAAGGGTTACAGGCCATGGCACTTGGCCCACTGGCTATTCCACTGAGCGGAATAGTCAGAATAAAAAAATCGATATGGGGCTTAGTGGCGGGCTTTTAATTGTGGCCCCCACATCCATGCAGGCCTCTCTCTGAATTCCTTCATCTTATCCCTGCCAAAGGCAAATTTGTAAGGAGTCGTCGCTTTGGCAAACCACGCCTTCACTAATAAATAGGAGAACTTGGGTTCTACCCTTTAAGCGGGTAATGCGGTGGCTGTGTGTCTCCAGGCGGATCCCATGCCCTCATCCTCGAATGGAGAGAAGATAAAGACGAAGTATTAAAAATAAAATATAAGAATTAGGATTGTAATTAAAAAAATTATTAAAAAAAATCTTTAATATGGTTAATTATTTGTTACATGGGATTTGGCAAACCTATAGAAGTAGGATTGAAGAATATCACTTTTTCCTATGGTATTCTCTAATCCCACATATATGTGTTTGTTTAATTACATATAATAAGCAATCTCTGATACTGAATATTATGTTCTTAATATCAATCACAATTCTTATTCTTCATACCAAACAGTACCAAAGTTCTCCCATCTTTTTACTCTCTCCATACATCTCAAGATCCATCAAAACCAGTTTGAGTGGTTATTAGGCTGATGAGTTAACTATTTAAATTTAATATGAATGGTTAATATTTAAATTTTTCAATTTTTATTTTTTCAAATTTTTTTAATAGGTATATAATTCAAAGTAAATATAATCTCTTAGCTTTGAGTTTTTTTTTTTAAATTATTTAGAAATTATTAGTTGAAAATTTTAAATCTATACTATTAAAACTGTATTCGAATAATATATATAAATTTCATCATAGTGACAAGTATTATGATGCTAATTATTACAATAAACACCAAAACTAGTTTCATATCCATATGTTTGATTTTCTGCCCAAATTAAATATCCAAATAACTAATGAGCTTGTAGGGGGAAAAACACCCAAAGGTTAAATATTAAACAAGTCACTACATCGCATTTATCCGTTTTAACTACTGCACTTATTCTCGGTCTACCTAAACGATTAATCAATGTTAATGTATAATGGTACATTAGCTTATTAATCCCCTACTACATTTGATCTTTACTATAAAAGCTAATTTGACTAATTTAAATAGATTAAAAAAATTAGTTAAGTTAGTTATTTGTGACAAATATGTGCTATTTTTATTAAAATACCCTTGCTAATCATATTTATCAGGTAGAATTATCATTTAATGAGACTTTTAACATGATCAATTACTCAGTAAAAAAAAAAAGGTGTAATTAGGTAACTTGAAATTTTATATTTATGACTAAACTAAATATCAAATTAGCTCTTATATTAAAGATTGGAGGTAATATATTATTAAGATTGAGCATGAATAAATAACAGAAATAAAATTAAAAAAGTCATATGCATTAATAAGAGCAATAAACTCATACAACAACAGCTTAAAATAAATCCTCACAAGATCTTAACACTAATCATTGATAATAGACTATTGATAATCACTAACCAATTCTTATATGATCTTAATTAACCAACTATAATGTCAGGTTAATATCTCAAACAACCTGCATCTTCGCGCTCAGGATTTCTATGGTCTCTGAGATACTTCAGTAAGCCATCAACATACTCTTCCTGTCTTTCTCTATTTACAAACAAGTCCTTCATCTCTTTTATCTTTTCCCGGTAGATCCTTCCCTCTTCTTTCACCATAACCAGCCTCAGCGACTCAGCCACTGATTCACTCTTAAAGGACCCGTCTCGCTCATTCCTCGGTATGGAATATCCCATCTTCTTCTCCTCCAACACCCTTGCGTTAAGTCCCTGGTCCGCCAAAAACGTCAGAAGCACAAGGGGCTTCTCATTCTGGATCGCCTCTACCACCGATGTCCAACCAGAATGAGTTAAGAACCCACCGACGGACTCGTGGCCCAATATCTTCAGCTGCGGCGCCCAACCGGTGCACACCACGCCGCGACCATGCGTCCGTTCCTCGAAACCTTCCGGCAGCCGCAAAATCTCCGGGTCGTACGGCCCACGTTGAGTCCTCAGCACCCAGAAAAATGGTAGCTCCGACTTCTCTAAACCTAGAGCTATCTCCCTCGCTTCATCTTGGCTGGGCTTCGCTTCGCTCCCGAATGCCACGTAGACCACTGTGCCTCTGTTTTGCTTGTCCAGCCAATCTTTCATCCACTGCCACGTCTCGTTCTCCTTTCCATCCTCATAGGCCGTGCTGGGAAGTTGGCCCACAGGCAGCACTGGTTTCTTGTAAAGGTTTTCGAGGAGTTGAATCCATTCGCCTTCAAATTCAAAGCAGCTTCTGATCAATACTATGTCGCAGTTTTGGAGACACATACCGGCCCGAAATGTATCAGAAACGCCGGAGTCGTTGTCGGAGAAACTGTCTGCGATCCTCATGATCTCAAAGTGACGAAATGCTACGGTGGTTGGAAACGGAACCCACGGTGGCGGAACCAAATAGTCTTCAAGTGTTGTGCGGCTGTTGTCAATACCCATCAAAGTTGAAGCTGATCCCATGAAACCCAAAAACGGGGCATTGAATATACTGAAGAAGGCACTCTTGATCCCCAGTTTGGAAGCAATGGATCCGATCCAATAAGGAGCAAAGTCGTAGAGGATCCAGTCTGGCTTGGAAGATTCAAGAAACCGAGTCATGGGCTGTTGGAGTTCATCGTAGGCTTTCTTAAGGAACTGCACGACGTTGTAGGGAACATCGGTTGTGGCCTCTGCGTCTTGAGGAAGGTTCTGGACCTTGCTTAAGGGAAGCTTGACGAGTTTGATAAGAGGAGACAAGTGAGGAGGTAGTTTTGGAAGACGATGGATGTTTCTTGGGCTAGACACGAAGTTGACAAGGTGACCCTTCTCAGCTATGAGCTTGGCGAGCTCAAGGTTGGGGATGATGTGGCCAAAGGCCAGCCATGGGAACATGACTATGTGAAGCTTCTTGTCTTCTACCATGGCGCCTTGATCAAGATCAGAACACAATTCCATATTATACAAATATATATAGGAGTATATATACACACAGTCACCGACCTTATGAATAGTAATAAAAATTAAAATAAAAATCCTGTCCCCACTATCATCAATCAAAGTATGCCCACTCCGTTGTGTTTGCTGTCTTCCATTCCTCTCGAGTCTCCGTCTCCATCCATGTCAGTGCCTGCAAACGGATGACTTAAATATATCAACCTATCGTTAGGCAGTGCGCTAATATTTATAAGCATGTGGTACTAGTTCCGATCCTTAATATAAAAACTCATTTGACTTTTATTTTAGTCATAAATATAAGACTCTACATTTTATCTCTCATATTTACTCATTTTCTTCGAAGCAGTTCTTATAATAATAGTAGTTATAGTCAATATACTTAATTAGCAAGAATATTTTAGAAAAGACAACACTTACTTATTACAAGTAATGAACTTAACCAATTGTCTTAATTTACTCAAATTAGTCAACTAATTCTTATATTAAGGATTGGAAAGTATTGAAGTTTCATAATATGTCCATAAAGAATGAATTTATCCAACTCCATCCATTTCTTTTTTCATATTGTTGGCATATATGTTTCAATTTTAACCATACTAACTCCACAAATACTTAAGAATGTAACGAATCATATACTATTTCATATACTTTGAAGCAGTGCTTCTCCTGTCCGTTGCAATTTGCAAGTAAGTCGTCTTTCAAGCAGTCCAGTTAATGACTTCTCAGAGCATCCTCCATGTTGCGAGGTCTTTGGCTTGTTATTCTTATTTATATTAAGATTTTTATGATTACATAATAATAATTTCAAGTATCAAATAAGGCATAATTAACTAATCACTCCACCGCACGTATGGACGATACAATGTCGTGTTTAGCACATAATTGGACGTTTCAGTTTCACTAGCTCTCATTAATTTATTCTTCTTCCCCCCGTCTTAATTATTCCAGGAACATGGACAAAATATATTTTTACGTTCGGATTTTTACTAAGTCCGAGTATGTGTATATATTTATGTATGAATATATAATATAAAATTTTCACTCATTATTTATAAATTATGAAGAGTGTGAATAATGTTTTAAAACTTATACAAGTCATCATAACATTATATATTATGATTTCTGGTGAAAAAATTATAACAACAAACAAAAAAGTACCCCAAGCAAGACGCCAATATATAGATACACTTCTTCTCCGCTTCTTATCTTAATTGTTAAAATAAATAACACTAGTTAACATTTAATATTTTATAAAATTATTATTTGAAATTTAAATGCTAAAAATTAAACGAATAAGTCCGAAAAATGAACAATAGAGAATATGCACGCATATTTCAAAATGTTTATTTTAGATAAGATGCTAGTCTTGGCCACACATACGCGAGCTTGAAAATGACACATGTGAGTATGACTTTTATGATGAAGTGCTCGTTTGTGGTTTGGGTTGGATTATTTAAGTATCTATAACTTTGATTTATAAGTGGAAACAAAACTTTTCTCATATATTTATTTTATATTTTATAAATTATGATTAAAAAGTTACTTATAAGTTATATATTAAATAAGCTCGAAACTGATACAGTTGACGTGATTATAATTCATTTGTTTTTATATAACCGTGATATTTAATATTTTTTAAAATAACAAATCTACTGTCAGAAGGTAAACTAAATAAATATCCCTACATTTTATTGGTGGGTCATTGAGAATCACAGCATCAAAATTATTGCAATGAGCTCAGTGGAGGAATCAGTCCGCAAAGTGATTTGCCCAATGCGATGATCTAATCCCATAACTAAACAAAAGTAATCAACAAATTCCGATGATGAATAAGTCAATAAGGTTGTTATGAAAAGTGACAACAATTTGAGAAGAACTAGAGACCATGGTTTAATATTGGATCCCCCTATTGTGAGCTTACCCCAAATTGTGAAAGCTAGGTGATTTATTATTTTGGGATTTCTCATAAAACTGGAAATGCGGGTCAACCCCTCATGGCATAGGTTCAAAAAACTCGTCCAGAAAATCATCACGCCATCACACACATATTATCTTGAAAATTTGAAGAGGAATATATTATATACTACTTTTAATATTTAAGGGGTGTTTGGGTAGTACCAGAAGTGTTTCTGAAAATTACTTTTTCATAAATCAAGATAAACTCCTCTACATATTTACTTCGTATACTGTAAAAATACTTTTAAAATCATAGTTTTGATTTTATCCAAACACTCCTTAATATAAGATCTAGTTTATACTTTAGTTTAACTACAACTATTAAAGATAGCGGGCAGAATATGATATTTGATTTAGAGATCTAGGTATTGGAACAAGTCTCTATATTTACACACACCCCAACGAAGCAGATCTAGATTCTAGATATGGCCAGAGGGTAAACGGTATGGAGGAAAAGGAAATTAAATAAACTACACCTAGCTTCCCTTGACCCATCAACCACAGTTTATATATAATAATGTTAATGTATTATATATTTCCAAACAAGCTGTCCAATAATACTCGTGCTATCCTTAAGCAGGTGAAGGAATTAATACAAAACTTCAGAGTAAACCATAAGCAGTAGCAGTTGTATGCAATGATGAATTTCGATATGTTTGGTCGTAAAATCCATATGAAGTTAACTATAATAATCTACAAAATTGGCTGCAATACTTTTTTGGAAAGAAATTTTGTGAATATTTCATAAAATTTTTTGCAAAACTTATACCACAAAATACATATATGGAAAATCAATTTGTAACCATTTTTTATCTTTCAATTTCATCGCAAAAACCGTGATGGTCGAGTAGAGTGAACAGAGGTATTAAAGGATATGCAAAGAAAAACGGTAGGGAAGTTGGAGCTGGCATCGCAAATTTGACTCCTGAGCCCCCTGGAGATCCACCGGAAAGCCTTGGCTCAGCCGAAGTCAAACTTACGGATGATATTAACTTGACCGTCTTCCTTGGATTTTTCTTCTGAAACAGCGGTCTATCTTCACGGCAACGCTCAAGAACGTCGATGATGGCAGGTGACGTTGACCGGACAGACACAGCGCAGCAATGGTGACGGGTCGTGGCGGCTGAACTTTGACGGTTTCCAGTTATATTAAGACGACACAACCAGACATACGTCCATTATTTCTCCTCCTTATATAACCGGAAACTGCCAAAGTTCAACCGCCAGAGCCGGGCGACGCCGTTGGTCAATCTCCCACCGACTCCATCGCCTTCTGGGGCGACATCGTCTAACAAGGTTGTACGGCACATGGGTGATGAGGGAGAGTTTATGGACTTGGGGTAATCCTCGAGGGAAGCTTGAGATGATCGGTTTGGATGTTTGATGGATTGTTGAAGGCGATCCATACTATTGGGGCAGACACCGAACTCATAATCACAAGTTGACTCTTTTGAGCTCAAGTTTTGTGGAATTGTCATCTCCTGACCTCAAACCTTGACCAATAAAACCCAGCTTGTCAATATGTTCTTAAGTTAAATAATTGTAAAGATGAGCGTGCGAAAGACAGGGATAAATTTGACTATGAGTTGAGTTAATAATTTTGGGAATAGAACAGGGGAGAAACAACCAATGCTCTCATCTCCTATTGGGCCTAAAGTGACAGATATGAAGGGAGTTAAGCGGTTAATTAAGGGGCCCAATACGAGCCCAAGCACACTCACATCATATCTCTCACTTTAGGCCACCGACTCATCGTCAGGTTGAGGCTAACTAAGGGTATATTTGGATTGGAGTTGGACAAAATTGACTTCTAACTCAACTGACTTTTGTAACTGAAGTTAGAGTAAAAGTTAGTTAGGATATGTTTAGATAGGTACTTTTAAAAAGTCAGTTGAAAAAGTTAAAAGTTGTTTGGATGATTAATAAAAAAGTTAGTTTAGTTGTAAAATGACTAAAAAAGGCATGGACTTTATTAAATAATGGTTTTTGAAATTTTATGTTTTTAATATGATAATAGTTTAAAAAAATATATAAAATTATTATGATAAAATATAAACATGTTTATTTGTGAAATTATAAAATAAAAATATTTGTTACGGAGAAAAATTTAAAAACACATTGTAGGTAATTAATTAAATATAGATAATGGACAAATATGAATATAAATTAAAATTCATTTAGTCTCTAATTAAAGTAAATGAAATCACATAACTAATTAGATAGTAATCTTTGCACAATTCGGTCCCTAATTAAGCCACAAACACGATTCCTTTGTGCGGTAGATGTTAAACTTGACGAAGATGCCTTACCAGCTGCATGATTATTGTCTTCATCTATTACACTTCCATGTTCAGCTTCTATAAAGCGGTCATCAGTTGGAGAATTTTGCCTGATAAAATTATAGGAAGCCATTGTGGCACAAACTATGCAGACCTATGTTTGAAACTTGAATCTGGACATGTTTCTTAAGATTACAAACCTATTCTTCCACACTCCAATAGTGGATCTCAAACTTGAATGATAATAATTGAAGGCCTCATTGTGATTTGTAAATCCTGGGTGACGATTAAAGTCTAAAAGGTGATAGCGCTCACGTCTGTACGAGCCAAGGTTGAGGTGAAATATTTTCCTAAAAAATCATGACTCAATTATGTTGAGGTGAAAATAATACAAGTGAAGTTGAATTTAAAATAATTAATTTGGAAATTAAAGAAATATACCTTTAGGTGGATGAGGAAAATTCATGGATGGAGTTGATATAGTAGAATGAAAGACACAAGCATCATATGCACTACCTTCCTAGCCCGCCAACACGCCAACATGAACGTAAAGCACATATTCCAGTCACATACGACCATGACATTTTGACTAGGAAATCCCTTCCTATTGATATATTTGTCTTGCCTAGCTTGACTAACCTTACAGTTTATGTGAGTACTATCAATTGTTCCAATTGCATCCCTAAAAAATGGGAAGTATCATGGATCATTTGCTATTTTTGGGTGATAATAGGAAAATATAGGATTAGTTTGCCTGATATTTTCTCGAGATAAATTGAGGCAAGCAGCCAACACTCTATGAAAATACCGACTAACAGTTTCTCCTGAATGCTGAAACCTTTCCTGAATCATCCTATTACACTAGCCATGCGCAATTGTATTCAAGAACATGTCAACAGATTCATAGACACCTATGTACTTAGTATTTTATAGCCAATGTTCAACTAATTTAGAACATAACCGATGGAATGTCTCTGTTTGAATTCAAAACATATCCTTAGACCATCCTTCATGCCCGTCTAAAAGTTCTTGAACCCACAAATAACCAGTTTGTTCACTAGTTCTACATGGCTATTTGCACAGAAAAGGTGTCACATATTGATTCATTAACACACTTAGCTTTGATAATTGTGTTGTGTGTTCATGTAAAGCGGGAAGTAATTGAGACCATTCGTCTCCCCCATCATCCTCTCAACCCTCGCCCCAACCCTCCTTTGAATCAAACATAATAAATGTGTGTTACCTGTGAATCGATAAATACTAAATGTAAGTAAAATTTTCACAAAAAAGAAAAGAAAAGAAAAGATAATACACAAATTGTCATTAAACTTTAACATAATAATTAAACATAGTCATAAAACACACAACATTAAACTTAGTCATTAAACATAGTCACGAAACACACAACATTAAACCTTGTCATTAAATACATCATCATAACACATAACACATAATAGTACATTAAGGTAGAAAAACAGAAGTCATAACAAGTCCCCTGGCACAACTCAAGGATTCCTGGGTGTAGCATATGGCGGTGGATTTTTAGCATTCTGCTTCAACCAAGCCACTAATACCTCCCGATTTTCTCTCAGACCAGCATATATGTCCCTGAAAGTCTTGTTTGCCAGCAGATTACAACACGATACAAAGATGAGTGTCACTAACAATTTCCTCCATACTCAGCAGATAAGTGGTCAGCTCAGTAGTGTTATCACTATTGGAGATTTTGTTTACTGTCGCTGCTGTACTAATTGAAGCCTTCTTAATCAAGCTTACTGCATCTGCTATTCTTTTTGTCGCTGGCATTTTTTGCTTCTTGTGCTTATCCAACCCTCCACCTCTCTTCCTCTTCCCTTGACTCTCTGAACCACTAGGTATACTAGGTGCAGTGTTTCATGTGTTTGCAGTTAAATTGATGCTGTCCAAATCGTTTGAAACTCCTGCACGGCGTCCAGTGGTAACACCTAAAAGCCCGTCTTCACTGTCCCCTGAACCTTCTTCCCAAACCACTGTGTTCCTTTCAGGGTCCCACCTTATACCAGTCTCCTTACCAATTCGCTGCTCAAATGCCTTCCACTCTTTCCTCAAGTTATCCGACCTATTTTTCAGCTATCTTTTCTCATCTCCTTTCCCTGTGTTTTCATTGAATGTTTTGTGAATGTTGTCCTAGCCTTGCTTTGTAAATGAGGATCTTTGACGATGTTTGTTATAAATTTGGTCCATGCATATTTTGAGAAAAACACCAGTAGTGCTTACATCCCAATGCGCTTTGCCTTTATCGTTACTTATTGTTCTTGATGAAATTACATATGTATCAAATCCACAATAAGTTTAGAATCAAGCAGTAACACACAAGAACAAACCCACAATTAACAGTGTCTACTTAAACCTTTTTTTTTAGAAGCAATCAATCAATGCATTTTTAAACTAATAATGTTCATATATCTTATCCACTTTATACGCCATAGGGTAGCCCAACCACATCCCTCTTCACTGAGAGCACAAAATTCTAAATGAATTCCTTGAATAATAAGTCCCACGTATTCTAGGAATGATATATTGAAAATAACAGAGTTTACAACATGCTAAAACAAATAAGAAAAAAAAACTATTTTATATTCTGAAAAAGGAAAACAAATTCGAAGTTAAACCCCTCTGGCACAAGTCTGACATTCAAGATTGATTATATTCCTAGAATGGCTCCTAGCAGCATTTCAAGTGAAGTAGAAGTCAAACAACACAAGTCAAACGCAGAGAAGCAGTAGCACCGAGTGGAAGGAGAGTGAAGCAAATTCATCACAAACAACATGCAAGATCAAAAATAGCAAATTCATCACAAACAACATGCAAGATCAAAAAGCAAATTCATCACAAACAACATGCAAGATCAAAAATAGCAAATTCATCACAAACAACAGAACACAAAAATTAGCAAATTCATCAAATACTACAAGAGAATTAAAACCAAAAACCACTTTCAGAGGAGCAGAGGAGTTTGAAGGAGAGTGAAGCTAAATAGATAGAAGCAGTAGCAATCGAGAGGCACAAAACTTGCCCTCTGCTTTCACAATGTATCTAAAAGAAAAAGAGAATAACAATTAGAACTCAAACATGGCAAGAGTTTCTGTACCAAATCTCAGTCCATCTCAAATATATATGTATATATATATGCATCACACATAGGTGACCTTACCTGCTAGTTGAAGCTGCAAGTTGAAGACTTTCAAACAGCCCCAAGCAGAAGAGAGTGACGGAGGGAGAAGTGCCGACTTCAATGGACACGGTAAATTGAGTAAAGCAGAAGAGAGTTGAAGACTTGTGTCTAAGTTGAGGCAGCCTCTGTAAATCGAGTGAAGCAAAAATCAAATGGAGCAGAGATGGCCGGATCTACGGGAAGCATAGCTACACATCGATGAAGGATGGTGAAGCTCAATAGATCCGGTGAAACCAACTCACTGAGGATGAAATGAAGATCTGAGAGAAGACCACACCAATCTGCAACAAATCAACTCCAGCTGATCTCTGGCACATCCAACGATGAATGAAATTGCGAGCTCTGTCGAACAACCGGAGGACCACCTGAAATGGAAGAAGAAAATGGGAGCATAAGGGAGAAGAGTAGGGGAGAACACGCGGCCATGTGGGAGAAAATGGAGAGAGTGAAGGAGGGAGAAGCATCGGTGACAGTCACAGACGGAGAAGCACCGGCGAGAGCAGCCGGTGACGGTGAAGATGGAATACCTAGCGACTATAGTGAGCTCTACAGAGGGAGTGACCTAAAAGTGAAGGTGGATTCAGGGGAGGGGAAATGTAGGGAGGATTAAAACTGGCAGGTCATATTTTTATGATTCAATTAATGCTCCATAACGATAGATCTTAGTTCCAAATGCCCCAAAAGTAGCTCCGCTCAGTGTTTCCAATGTTTACCGTTTGCCTCAGAAGTTGGTTGGGTCGATTGTCCCAACCAAACAACCATTTATCTTCAGTTTAGTTGCAAACCTTGGTTTCATAATTTCTTAGGGCCCTTTAGCGTTTGTAACGGCAATCCAAACGAAGCCTAAATAATCAACGTACATCCTAACCCAACAAATAACCTGGCCACCAGCGACGACTCTGGCGGCTACTAATAAGTAAGGGGTATTTTAGTTATTTCAAATGCAAACTTATTTTCAGTTTCGTCCTTAAGCCTGCAGAATAATTTTAGAATGTTTTGCAGGTTCTTGAATGATATCCTCCCAATAAGAAACATGACCAAACAGATAAACGAAAATTTAACACACACACACACACAGACAAATCTATGAATGATGAGACCAATTGTTTGTCTAAAATCTTAAAAACAAATGCTTCGATAACAAATAGCAATTAGTGAAGCGCTAACTCCACCTGGAGAAGCAAGTTTCTGCGAAAACTTGGCCACTGAATCTTTTTTTCAGGAATTCCGGGCCCCAATATGAAACCGTGCAAGGAAAAAACAAATTAAGATAGATCAGTAACCAAAATATGCGTGCACCCGGCCACCAAGTCCTTGCAAAAAAGGTGCAGGATTTCCTAGGTTAAGTATTTACCTCACTAATTAGTGTGGTTTTCATTTGAATAAATTTACAAAGAATATGCATGTACATTTAACAAATGCTAAATGCATCAAAGCTTCTGCCATCCCGAAACACATATAAAGCGCCTCTCTGGTATTCCAATCTTCAGCCTCAGTCATGCACTAAACCAAATAACCTGAACTGCATCACTATCGCCTTTGGACCAGTCCCACTCCCCCCCCCCCCCAAATCATATGCCATGATTTATGAATACTGATTCAAGTTCAGCCTTTGTAGGATCCAAAAGACTTCACCATGGGATCCTGTAGTTTCGTTGCCAACAGTTGATGTTTCCCAGTCCTGAAAAACGATATTTCATATTAGCAACTTCAGGAGCCCGCAGTTGTCTTGCGATCAAGATGTCACAGTCCCAACTATGCAAAATATTACCATTCTTTCACATTCTTCAGAGGAAAAGATTATTGTATTACATATCCATCATCAAACAAGAAAAGTGCAAAAGCTACAAGTTACCTGAAATAATATGCTCAGGAGGAGTAAGGAAAAGTGTATAATGACCTGAAGAGCTTCCAAAATATATTGCTAAAATAGTGCCAACAGGCTCAGTGTAATGAAAATAACGAAAAACTGAAATTTTTTTAAATATGACTCTCACAGTGGGGAAAAAAATTCCAGTGTATTTCCTCTACTGCAGCATTACCCAACACACTGTCACGCAACAAAAGTTTCAGGCAAAGTGTGGTTTGCCCCACCAAAGTCCAAACAACCTCGTTTGACAACGAACGAAATAACAATGATGAGAGCGACATCAAAGCACAAATATCTACACTGTATTGATATGAAAATCGTTTGCTCTGAAGAGACAAAGGTAGATTCAAGTTCTCTCCAGTAACTACGATTTAAAATGGATTCTGCTAGTACATATTGAACTTTCACTAAAGCTAATTCTTGATCCTGCAATCATAGTCTAGGATTCAGAAAACCTCAACAAGCAAAAAGTAAGGTTTACATATGTCGATCCCAAGTTGCAATCGAAATAAAAGATCTTCACCAAGGGGAAAATTATTGTTGCTTTGGGGGGGGGGGGTGTGGTTAGAATTGGATAATTATGGGCTGCAAAGACCAAGTGCAAGTCAACAACAAGAGGTAGCCTGACCTTACTAAGCCAGGTTTGCTCCATGGATCAAATGCTACTATTGTGCTTTATTAACAACTCACTTTTTAGATGTATCATTCATCATGAGATTCCATTTGATAACTTCCTTGAGTATCGTTCTTGGAGCCCCTCCACATCTTTTCATAGGGATAAAGGTTATCTGCTCAACTCTTCTACACTTCTAGTAGCCTTTATTTTGTAAATATCCAAACCACCTTAATTAATTTTCTACCATCTTCCTTTAGTAGACGCCATACCAACTTTTCCTCGTATACAATCATTGCAGATATTGTTTTTAATTTTATGCCCACACATTCATCTTAAACACTCAACATTTACTGCCTATAGCATTGCTAGTCTCAATTTTTTATATTGAGCAGAAATGAAAAATCTTCACAATGCAGCTAAGTCAGTCAAACTCCACCTTTGAGCAAAGGCATTTGTTTATCCATTCTTCTTCCAAAGTCGACAAGCAGATGCTTCACTTTGGTAGGCCAATCACCCACCTTATGTGTTGAAAACAGTTTACATCCACCCTTTGGTCCAAAACAGTTGAATGTGAATGATGTGCTATTGACTAGGGTTTATTGTACATAATTAGGGAGATACGGTTTTGGATTTATTCTTCAATTATTCTATAAGCGTTAGGCATTATTATGTTCTCCTAGGTTCTTACTATGAAAGAAAGGTTCACAAAAGCCTGAACTCACTGGCTAATTCCTTTTTCTTCCATTCTCTCTAGCTACTGTTCTCATTCTCTATCTCTTTCTAAAATATCTCCCTTATATTCCACATCAAATTTCTTTTCCTCATATTCTATATCAAATTAAAACCCTGAACCTCACTAGCAATTACGTATATCCCGGGGGGGGGGGACTTTTCAGTCTGTTTATGACAAATTCATCGTCTTTTTTTTTTTTTTTTTAACCAGAAGACAAATTCATCCTGTTTACATCAAAGAAGGATCAATGTTCTGAGCATGTGCACTCACCCACTAAACGAAAGAGTCAGTAGCATTTCATATTAAATAGAAATTTATCATACACATACGTCAGTTCTAGCACAGAGCAAGGAAAAGGTGGAACAGCACATAAGAGAATGAGTGAATGAAATTTGAGAATTCAAATAGTCACTTGCCTCTTGATCCTTTGCAGATTCATCAAGCTGAGTGGCTGCTGCAGTAACAGTTGACTGCGAACAAGCACATAATATTGTCACTGCGTTTCAAGAATATTAGCTGCTCACTTGCTGATACAAAGTACAGCAATTTTCCATCTATACAAAATAATATGCATTACAAAAATTCAGGTGTTGCGTTCATCCGTATAACTTTAGCCAAATCACCAAGAAAGATCATAGGAAAGCCTCCTTTCCTTTATTCCATTATGGTGCAAAAATGAACAAATAATCACTACATCAAATCCTGTATAATCCCTGAGTTAGTTAACATAGAGTATGTCTCAGGATGTAACCGGCAACCATTCTTCATCATGAGGCTTAGCAGCTTTGGGCATTGATCAATATAACCCTTCTTAAGCAACCCATCAATTAGAACTTTCCAAACGACTTCATCATAGTTATACTGAAGGTGGATCAAACTACAAAACACTGCCTCGGCCTTGTCCTTGTTTCCTTGTTCAAATAGCCAACAGATAAGAAGCTTATAAGACTCCAGATGTGCTAAATGGCCACACTCAATCATAGAATCTAACAAGTTCACTGCTTCCCCATACATTTCCATCCTGCAACAACCACTTAGAAGAGTATTGTGAATAATTTCAGTTGGAGAAATCCCACTTTCTCTCATATGATTCCATAACCTGAGGGCCACAGCCAAAGACTCCACTTTGCAAAGTCCTTGAATAAGCTTGCTGTAAGTGTTGTAATTAGGCACACAGCCACACCAAATCATTTTCTCAAAAAGCACAGATGTGATTTCAAAATCAATTGCTTTCCATAAATCATCAATCTCAACTAAGAAAGCATTAAAGCTTGAAGCAAATGCCACAGTCCTGCTACCTTCCTTGTTATCCTTCTCATTTATTAGAAGCTTCAAAAGATAAAAATATGTTTGACGAGAAGGCTCACAACCAGCGTCAAACATGCACTTGAGAACACCAAATGCACTATCCAGTAGTCCCATGCATCCATATGCACCAATTAATAAATTGTAAATAAAATGGTCAGGCACTATGCTCTCTTTTTTCATCTTAACCACCATATCTTCAGCCTCTTTCATTCTTCTCTGGCAGCAATATGCCTTAATAAATGCTGTATACGTGAACAGATTGGGCTGACATCCTGATGAAATCATTTGGTTAAAAATTCTATCAGCATTGTCAAAGTCACCTTCCTTCAACACTTCTTCAATCAGCATTGTATAGGTATAAACAGTGGGCTGCAGATCAAACTTTACCATGTTAGATGCCAGACACGATGCTTCTTCCAAAGTTTTGTATTTGCGCAAACCATCTATCAGCACATTGTAAGTGATTGAATTTGGCTGACATTGCTCAGCAAGCATCCTTTCAAACAACAGATGAGCATCATCAATGTTTCCAACCTTGCAGTAACCATCAATCAAAGCAGTATAAATTACTTGATTTGCTTTGTCATCTTCATTGAGGGACTCAAAGATTTGATAAGCCTCTTCAACTCTGCCTATTTTGCACAGACTATCGATAAGAGAACCAAATGTCCACTGATCAGGCTTGAAGCCATCTTTTATCATCAATTTATACAACCGAGAAGCACTATCTACAACACCTGCCTTACATAGCCCATGAATCAATGAGTTATATGTAATAGCATCTGGGGACAACTTCCTCTCAAACATCTTGTTAAGCAGTGCCATTCCTCTATCCATACTTTTGTTCCTACTAAACCCACAAATCAGCTCATTATATGTACGTGCATCTGGACTACAGTTATTTGATACCATCCGACTCAAGATACCCATTGCATCCTCCATCATTCCCTGTTTGCAATACCCATCAATCAAAGCATTAAATGTGACAATACTGGGGGTTAAACCTTTTTCCAGCATCTTGTTCAAGAAATTCATGGCCTCTTCAAGCTTACCTTTTTTACAGAAATTATTGATTAACACAGTGTAAGTATAAACATTAGGTTTGCAACCTCTTTCTGCCATATCTTCAAAAAGCTTTAAAGCTTCCATTTCTTTACCTAATCCACACAAAGCATCGATGACAACTGTGTATGTTTGAACTGCAGGAGTACAGCCGTCCTCCTTCATCTGTGAGAAAAGCTTGAGGGCCTCATCAATTTGATCGGCTTCACAAAAGCCGTGAATAAGATTACTGTACGTAACTTCATTCCGTTTACATTCCATTTGAGGCATAAGCTGAAAAATTCTATAAGCTTCACCTGCTGCTTTGTTTCTACAATGGCCCAATATCAAGGAAGTGTAGGTGAATGTATCCGGACAGAAACCAGCACACAGCAACTTAGTTAGATACAGTTTCGCCGCCATGATATTTCCCAACTTGCAATATGCATTTAGCATTGTATTTAACGTAATTGCATTCGGATAAATTTTATCTTCAAACATCTCTTTATACAAAATTTTCATTTCATCAATCATAACAAACTGTGATAAGCATATTAGAAGCCTATTATAAGAAGTAAGCGAAAGCTTATATGACAGTTCTCCGCCGTCATTCGTATTCATTCTTCGTAACAAATCCAAAACTAGCCTTGCATCATCGATGGAATCACATGATTTAATCATCGAATTCCGAATATTCTCCGCAGCACGAAGTAACCCATGGCGGATCAGAGTTACAAGCAAAGACGAATAAGAATGAACATTGTGCTTGTACCCAGGTTTCTTCTCGATCCATCTGAAGAAGACCAGCGCGACATGTGGATTGAGGTTGAGGTTAATGACGGAAGAAACATGGGATGGGGTTATAAACGGGACTAACTTTTGAAGAGAGGAATCTTTTTCCCAATTCGGATGAGAAAGGAAGTTGAAGAGCTGGGAGGAAAGGTCAGGTGATTCGGGCTCCGCGGTAATCGGCTTGGGAAGAGAAGCAATGGAAGAAAAGGGTATGCGAAGACGACAATGAAAAAGGGACTTACCAAGACTGGTAAAGGACGTTCCTTTGCTCATCTGGTATCCATGAAATAATATGAGCTAAGCCTTCCAATGCATCGGTGAGGGTGAGGACCAAGCGTGCTGAAGGCTATGTAGTGGAGAAGTCTCAGAGAGGCCGTAGGCAGGTAAGGAGGAAGGCGGCCATGGTGGACCACTGAGATCGGCGCCTAGTCGCTTGCGATTGAAGTTGGGCCGTTCGGCCGATTGGGTGGATACTCGAGACCGGATGATCGAACCGACATTTAGTTTCGTGGTCCTGTCTCTTCCACGAGGGTGGAGGATTATTCCATTAATGTTTTGGGCCAATTTGGGCTATCGCCTGAAAAGACAGGTAAGAGGTTTTCGCGTGGGCTCTGTGGGATTAGTGTGAGCTTTTCTTTATTTAATTTTTTATTTCATAAAAATCTAAGAAACAATATCAATATATTGCATGTCATTAAAACTATTTGATATTATTTATTGGGAAAATAGTTTTAAAAAAAACCACCGAAATAAAAAAATTACACACAGGGACCGGTTTATAAAAATTATTGGCAAAGCCTATTATATTATTATCAAAACCCATACTAATGGTGTCATGGGTTCTTATTTGTAATTTTTCTATTTCGGTGAATTTTTTTTGGTTATTTTTCCTTATATATTTACTTTTTACTTACTATTATCAAAAAAAATTGTTTACTTATCATTGATGGATGCCACATGGACATAAGATCGATTCATATGTCCCTATAATTTATGAGTGTTTAGTGTAGTATTAATATAGTGAACAAAGAAAGATTAATATATCTTCAATCCCTAAAATTTGATTTCATTTTGGTTTTAATCCTCATTTTAAAGACAAAAAATCTTAAAGCAGACCAAAATGAAGTGAAGAAAACAAATTAGAGGCGTGAACGTAACCTAAGAAATGAGTGATGACTATATGTGTGATGCGGGTGTTGATTCACATGTTCAAGATTCAAGCATACATTGAAAATCATTGTGCATTTCCTGGGCACTACATCACAACTTCAAACTCCGCAAGAACTCGACGTTTGACAAAAAGACTGAAGAGAGTACTGTTGTGGTTGCAGACAAACCTTGAATCAAACCAAAGGATGATGCAAATTTTGGGTTCATTAACTATGATAAACAAATTAAAGAATGATGGTGTTGCATGAAATTAACGTGAAATTAAGATGGTAAGATTTTGAAATACTCCTCCCGTTCTTATTATAAGAGCTAATTGTTAAGTTAATTTTGATCTTAAATATAAGACATATTTTTCATATTTATCAATTTTTTTCTGAATTACCCTTATGAATACTCCCCCAACCATAATCAAATAAGTGAAGGAAGAAAGATATTAAGAAAGATGATTATGGTGTTTTATGAAAAACATGTCATATTTTTTATAATTAACTAACTTACCTAACTTTTTAAATATAATTAAATTAGTTAAATAGGTCTTATATTAAGGACTAGAGGAGTATGTTGAATGTATTTAATGATGTAATTATTTAAAAAAGCGGATTTCTTTGGACTGAATTGTGTGTGTGAACCAACTTTTTAGGATTGGTACAGTTATTTTATGAGTTTTTCCTTTTTTGGCTAATATTTGATTGACGGGTTTAATCAACCTTGCTTGAAGACAAGATCTCTAAGAATTTAGCCTCATATATACTATATTAATTCCTTAATATAAGAGAGTCAGATAACTAGTTTCATACTGCAGGAAGTTCCCTTTTTTTTATTAATGGGAGTTCTCGGTATCGGTTTATATGTTTTGAATGAACCAACATTAAAGTTTGAAATATCAGCTAATCAGTCATATCCTGTGGCACTGGGAATAATATTAAAAAAATAATTGGTTAAATTGACCCTTAATTATCTTCTTTAACCACATGCTGCATGAATGATTGGATTTATTCTTTGGTAAGAATTTCTTACAATCAATAGGGATATTTGGGGTTGGAGAGATGAGAGATAAAATGAATTAGTATCTTATATTTAGGATCAAATCTGACCTCAACTAATTTTTATATTAAAGACAGGGGATAGCACTATGTTTCTATACAATGCAAATCAATTAAGTCAAAAGCTTTTAGTCCACGTATATAATGTGAATTTCTTTTAATCATGCATGGATCACAAACTAATTTAGTTACTTGCATGAAGAAATCTTCAGTGAACTTTCAGGCCAAATGAGGAAATTTAAAACGTGCGTGTTTATTTGTTCAGAGTTTCTACTTCTAAGGTGCCTTAGCTTGAGAAATATCTAGGGAAGGTTTCTGCTATCTGGGTATCCCGAAGAAAATTAAAACCTAGCGCATGGCATGGCGAGACAAGAACAGATCACAAACCTCATGTTTTGACGAGCTAAAAGGAGTAAATAATTAATAAGATTCATTTATCTGAAACTTGCCATGAGTACTGAACTACTATTCCCAACACTGAAACGTGGTTTTGAGTGATGATGGTGAATCAACGCGTGCGTAGCGAAGAGTGGGTAATAGCAACAAATTGTAGGGTTTTGAATTCTGTGATTTTACGTGGTGGTCAGACTTGCATGATGATGTGAAGGGGAAGGAGCTAACGTCATACGTTGGACAAATGCATGCAAACAAAACTCACCCTTTTGGGGGCTTCCTTACCCACTCAAGTATGACAACTTGATATTTAGGAGCCTCTTGGGGATGTGGATATGAAGAAGATCAGCTAATGCTTAGAGTAATACTCCTCCGGTCCTTAATATAAGACCCATTTAACTAATTTGATTAGATTAAGGAAGTTAGGTAAGTTAATTAATTTTAAGAAATGTGACACGTTTTTCCTAAAATACCATAATCATCTTTTTTAATACCTCATTTTCTTATTCTACTTGATTATGGTTGAAAGAGTATCTATAGGGGTAATTTAGAGAAAATTGATAAATATGAGAAATGGGTCTTATTAGGATAAAAACCAACTCACCAATTGGGTCCTATATTAAGGACCGGAGGAGTAATATCTTTTAACCTCTTTCTGACAGTTTGTTGTTACCCACATTTTCAACTGTTATTTTCATCAATGTTTATGTTTGATCTAGCAGTAGCGGTGTAAGGCCTCTTTTAGATTCCTTTAGGTCCTAAGTCTGAGTCTTACAGCGAAAATTTTTGTGGGAAGGAAAAGTCATGAACCCCATCAATTGCTTAGATACCTGGTAATAGGATCTAAGAAAAGTATTTGATATCGGATGATACTATAAAAGTATGCTTGTTTTGTAATTTCTATGTTTCTTATTGTTCAACGTCGTATAATTTATTTTTTATTTAAAAAAAAGTAACCTTAACCATAAAACAAAATATAATCATATTACTTCTGGTTCTAATTATAAGATCTTGTTTATAGTTTATAAACAAGATCTTATAATTAGAACCGAAGATAGTATGTTTAAGTAATAAACATCGACACAACACAACATACATATTGCATCTCATCTTCCATCAAATGCTTCCTCTCACACCCTTCCATGCACTCTGTCTATATGCCTGCCTCTCTCGGATGGAATGGTACATGATCCCTAACCTGCTTAATTTGGGGCCTATCGTTATCATATTATCCGAATTGGGATTCTCATTTTAATTAATATGTATAATTAGTTTAAGTGTCTATGCATCTAATATATATATATATATATATATATATGAAATTCAGTAGAGCTAATTGTTTGAGGAACACCACACGGCATAGCTTCATAACTTGCATCAGCTTTCTGTAATTGAAACGAAACCTCAAGACAAAATAAGGCAGACAAGTTTGTTCTTTGATGGGATTAAACCTACATTTTTCTGTAATCGTTTGAGGAACATCACATGGCACAGTTTCATAACTTGCATTAGCTTTCTGTAATTGAAACGAAACCTCAAAACAAAATAAGGCAGACGAGTTTGTTTTAGATGAAATTAAACCTACATTTTTCCAATACATATTTTAAACCACCTACAATAAATATTCGTGTCGTCCTGATGTTTAATTATTTTTTTGGCCGTTAAAGTCAAGATACGCCATGAGAGAGACAGAGAGCTTTTTGAAGATGAAGATAAATAACAAGCATTGATCCTTATCTGATCTGCAATACAATTCTAAATAATGATATATTAATAAAAACACATAATTCCACTTTGTGTGCCAGAAGAAAGGGGAAAACATAAATGAACCTTGTAAATGGGTATCTTTTCAAGTCATTTTCACAACGCAAAGTGCCTTGTTTTCTTCGCCACCAGAATATATAATTAAGAAATTTCAACAAAAGTGATGCGTGCGAATTTGCGTTTATCGATAGATCCATGTATTCTGTTAAAAAGGCAATTCAGTTTTAAAAGCTCCTCATTGGAATTATACATAAATATTAGTATGTAAGTTCGGAAGAAAAGGACGTCACTGTGAATGCAGATAATAATTACAGGGTATATCCCATTTTGATAACAAAAAGATACCGTGACAACAACCGATGGATGAAGAATTTTGGATAGGACCGATGATTCAGACACCTTGGCTTAGTTTCAATTTTTCAGCTTTGAAAAATAATAATGTTTTTGGCTAATTTTAGGAAGAGGACGAGGAAGAAGAAATTAATAACTTTGCTCACACAGGCAGAATCTCAGCATGTGAACCGGCTTGTTGATGCTTCTCCCATGAGACAAACTTCGAAGGTTGCCGTCCATATATGGATGTGATTCTTTTATAATTATATTTTATATATGTTTATTTAAAATTTTTTTTATTTTTCTTGTTTCTGTCCTAGCTGTGAGGTATTAAGTCTTACTTAGCCTTAGCCATTTTATTTAATTATCTAAATTCAAATTTATCATTTTTATCTCACCGTTTTCTTTTTGGATCTTTAATGGAGATTTTTTTGGTGTAATTTAAAGCATCTTCAAATCACTTTGGATTTGAGATTAATTTTTGTCGAGCCAAGAGCATTAAGATTAAAACCCTTCCAATAAATGTGTTTTTTGATATTCGAACTTATATTCTCTTCCCTACTGAAATGAAATTGCTTACCATATCAACTAACACTTTATTGGTTAATAGAGATTTTGTTGCATTCTTTAGATTCCAAGCCAATAGTCTACCGGAACCCCAGCTTTTATAAAAAGTTAAAAAAATCTTTATTGGGAGGAAAAGTCATGAGCCCCATCAATTACTTAGATACCTAGTAATAGGATCCATGCGAACCCCAGTTCACCTTTTAAGCAAAAGTACTAAATTTTAATATAAAACATCGAGCCATTTAAGATTTGAAATGGCTGAGATGCGATATGAACGATGGGGGAAGAATATGCACGATGCACATAGCTATATGAATCCATCTTTTTGTCAATATTCCTCTTTCTTCAATCTCTTCCATATATAAGGTCCAAAAAAAAAAAACCCTTCCACATGCAATCCCCGCATTTATGAGTTTCATGTGCATGATGTCATTTCTGTGAAATAAAAGATCGGAGGATAACATGAAATATAAAATTCATAACAAAGTTATTAATATTACAATTTAAATTCCTCTTTTCTGCCATCACAACTTAAATTCCTTGTTTTAATATACGAAAAAACATGTTTAGTTATAAATTAAAAAAAAAAATCTTGCTCGCCCTTTTCATTTAAGGAGAATGACAAAAAAAAATTGAAAATTGCAAAGTTCTAAATCAAGATTTGTGACAACAATTGAATTGTAAATAACAATACATTTTTGTAAAAATACCTTATTTGAAATTTTGCAATTTTTGAGATTTTTTTTGGTCATTCTGCCTTTCATTTATTAAAATTAGTTTTGGATCTATATATTGCAGTAATTGCACGTAGTATGAGAAATGAGTCACGGCTTGTTAAAATTTAATATTCATAGAACTAAAACCTTTTCTATCTTTATGAATGGTGAAAATCTTTCTAAACTCAGATTCAATGCTCAAACGGCGGGGAAAAAGGATTCAATGCTCAAAGTCAAAACCGTATGCTGATTGTTTTAAGGGAAAATAGATTTGTCAATCCTTATAGTTTCATTGGATTTTGAATTAGGTCCCTCCAGTTTTATTTCTTTTTATTGAACCCTTATACTTTGTTCCGTTAAAGCCATAGATCCTTCCGTTAATAAATTATCAAAACACCGTTTGGTTTCTCTCCCCTGGTCAAAAGCAGGTGGCTCTCTATCATCAGCCATGACCAATTCGATGATGACGCCGAGAAGGAGAGCTCTTTCTTCAACTGGTTCTGCTTCTCTATCAATATTGGCGTGTCGCTTCTATGTGTTTTGGATGTTGATGCTAATCGATGAAGGTTATGTGCAATCCTGCACATTTGCACACGACTCTGACTTGACTATAAGAAAGCCCAGTAGCTCCCATTAGACTCTTCTATCTAATTGTAATTTATTATTTAATATCTTGTTTTGTTACTACCTTAGCACACTATTTTATGAAGGCCTTTTTCCTTAACGATGCCGAAGGAGTTTGGTAGTTTCTTTCAAACTTTTGTTCTGAGACCCTTGCATTATTCCATGAAAGAGCATTGATTTTTTAGTTTCAAATGCTCATGACCTTCGGCAATATTAATTTATGATTTTAGATTGATCAACGCCAAAAAAGTAATAATAGTTATTAAAGTTTTAGGGATGAGGCTGTTTGGAGTGGCTAGAGGCTAAGCATGATGACCACCTAGTTCGCAACACCCAGAGGCCCCGCCATTTGCCTCATTCCTCAGAGACCCTGCCTTCACGAGTTGGAACCTTCTAGCAAGAACCCACATGTACAAGCCCCACCTCCTCCTTTCTTAGCAGAAGGCTCACTGCTGCAGAAGTAGCATAGAAGCGGCATGCCGATATTGATGGAGAAGAACCAGCTAAAGAAGCAGCTCTTCTTCTCCTTCTTGGTGTCATCATCAAACTGGTCATGGCTGATAAGAGAGAGAGCCACCGGTTTTTAATGGGGGAGAGAGAGCGACTAACGGTGTTTTGAGAATTTATTAACGGAAGGACGTATGGCTTTAATCGAACAAAGTATAAGGATTCAATAAAAAGAAATAAAACTAGAGGGATCTAATTCAAAATCCAATGAAACTATAAGGACCGACAAATCTATTTTCCCTTGTTTTAATGCCTTCTTAATTAATATTCTGGACCATTCTAAAGTTGATAAACTGAATCCAACGAATGAATATAAATACATTAGAACAGGCTAGAGTGATGAACTCGTTAAACTCGTTTCCTTTTCTTTTTCTTTTTTTTGTTTACTTTCTACTTCTTTGCTTCCCTTTTGAAGTTCCTTTTTAAGAGAGATACGATCACGTGCTTCTTTCTACAATTTCCCTCTTTTTTATAAAATTTTCCCCAACATGGATTAAAGAGAGGATAAATAAAAACAAATAACCTTGAGTCTTCGTGATAAATCTTGAAGACAATATCCAATCAAAGATTATGATTTATTTAAAAAAACTGTTCGCCTAGAACACTCACAAAACACATATATAAAAAAGATTCGCTAAACTTAATGTAATTAAGGCGCACTTTTGAACATATGCATTATTTCAGAATTCTAATCTTATTTAAAATAGTTTCGTATTAGAATTAATCCTTGAATTTATTTTCTTATGCAATATCTTCATTAATAATATTTAAGATGTTGCCTCAATTTTTGGAGTCTTCAATAAAAATTTGGAGGAGCCCATTATTTAGGAACTTTATTAAGATTTTTTGGGTTAAAATATGGCGGCCGAGGAGTGTTGAAGACAAAGAAAACAAAATTAAGGCGAGAGAAATATTTTTTGAAAGAGATTTTTCCATATATATAACATTCAGATTAATTTGTTTCTTAAAAAAATAAAAAAACCAAGAACAACTGTCCAAAAGAAATGTGTACCAGATTCAGCGTACTGCCCGGCACCAGCCTTCTTTTCTAATTTATGAAAATTAAGGAGGTTCTTTATTTCTAAATCTTCCCCTCTTTTCGAGTTTATCTTTATTTAAATGTACCATTAGTTAATCATTCTATTAAGGAGTGGAAAGAAATTGTTGATTAGGGATATACTTGAAAAGAGCTTATAATACTACCTCCGGTCCTAATTATAAGAGCCAGTTGACTAATTTGAGGAGATTAAGGAAGTAAATTGAGTTAGTTATTTGTCCTAAATAAGTGTTGTCTTTCCTAAAATATCTTTGTTAATCAAGTGTATTAACTAGAACTATAATTATTAAAAGGATTATTTTGAAAAAAATTGATTAAATATGAGAGACAAAGTAGATTGGAATCTTATATTTAGAATCGAAATAAAAGTCAAACAGAATCTTATATTAAGGACCGGAGGTAGTACTTTTTATCCCAAAATTGCAAAAAAGACACTATAAAAAGATTAAAAGACAAGAAAATCACGTATTATAAAATGAGACGGAGAGAATAATATTTTTATGAGAACCACCGGTACAAAATACTCAAGAATATTTGTCAATAATGTATTTATTTTGTTTTATATTTAAATACATATTATAAAAATTTGCAAAAAATGAAGAAATGAGAAAGAATCCCATAAAACCCTATAAAATGTACAAGGATGGAAAGGAAAAAAAGGCATAGCTTGAGAAGAATGAAGCTTATTTTTTTAATTTTTTTACTTGAAAAAATTATACTATTAATAGCTTATAAATATTATGATACGACTGCTAGTAGTATTGAATTATATTATATATTGAATATTAATATATGACCATAAATGAATAGTAATTGACCATGGAGTATAATAAACAAAATCAAGACTTTTATGTAAAATGCATTAAATTGTGGGGAATGTGATTGCGTTTGCCCATGCATTGATTTTTCAGATCTCCTCAGCCTTGCTATTTAAATATTCAATTGACGTGGGTAGCGCTCTGTTCTGTGCTCCACATCATATAAACACCGGCAATTGTCTCGTCTCTTCCAACTTACATTCATCTTCCCCATTTCTCTCACACCTTGGAAAAGGGAATGACTTTTTCTGCAACTTCCCTTAAGCCTAACCGGTACTGTCTCTCTCCATGGTACAAAGCTCCAACTTCAAACCATGCTTGCAGAAAACAGGTAATCATATCACCATCTCCATCTTCCTTCTTTCTCGTTCTCTGTTTTACTTCTAATCATGGGTTTCACTTTTTGATTCCTGCCTTGATGTTTCATTGATGGATGGTGCGCAATGACGGTTGATGTTGATTGTATGTGATTCTGCACGACAGTTAGGAGTAAAAGCTTCAACTAGTGGTTCAGATGATGGAGAAAGGACGGTTATAAGGAAGACAAATGATGGGTGGAAGATCAATTATTCTGGCGAGAAGCCAGCAACGCCATTGCTGGATACAGTCAACTACCCTCTCCATATGAAGAATCTATCCACACAGGTGAACCATTTTTTATATTTAGAACTGTGAATCTCAGGCACAATGATGTTCAGTTTTTGCTGATCTGTCTTCTGTGTATGATGTGTGTCAGGATCTCGAACAACTTGCAGCAGAGCTAAGAGCAGATATTGTTTACACTATAGCAGATACTGGTGGGCACCTTAGCTCAAGCTTAGGAGTGGTCGAGTTAGCAGTGGCCCTGCATCATGTTTTCAAGACCCCAGAAGATAAGATCATATGGGATGTTGGTCACCAGGTCAGTCTTCTTTTTTCTTGTTTTCGAATAGAAATTGAACTTCAATGATGTAGAGAAATTTGCTCTCGTGGAAAGAAAAGAAGGATCCACTCTTCTCCTCTAGGGTCTAACAGAAAGAAATTGCAGGCATATCCACACAAGATTCTCACAGGTCGAAGGTCCAGGATGCACACCATCAGGAAAACTTGCGGGCTAGCGGGGTTCCCTAAAAGGGATGAAAGTGTTCATGATGCTTTTGGGGCAGGGCACAGTTCTACAAGCATATCAGCGGGCCTTGGTGAGATTCTCTAATAATAAAATCAAAGCATTTCATAGGACCAAAAGACTACAGATTGAGCCATTCTCAGTGCTCACTCTCTCTTTGGCTACAAAAATTTGCAGGCATGGCTGTTGGGAGGGATCTACTGGGAAAGAAGAATAGTGTCATCTCAGTGATCGGAGATGGAGCAATGACTGCTGGTCAAGCTTATGAGGCCATGAACAACGCAGGATTTCTTGAGGCTAACATGATAGTCATACTGAATGATAACAAGCAAGTCTCTTTACCAACTGCCACACTTGATGGCCCTGCAACCCCAGTTGGAGCACTAAGCGGTGCTTTAAGCAAAATTCAAGCAAGCACCCAATTCCGAAAACTCAGAGAAGCCGCAAAAGTATATCTTCTAAACTCTCCTCTGTAGACAATTTCACAATTTCGGCGCTTATGTCAATTTCAATGTCATGTGGCACCACACTCTTATTTGTTATAGAGCATCACAAAGCAAATAGGGGGGCAAACACATGAAGTTGCAGCGAAGGTAGATGAGTATGCAAGAGGAATGATCAGTGCGTCCGGATCTACACTTTTCGAGGAACTCGGTTTATATTACATTGGTCCTGTGGATGGTCACAACATTGGAGACCTAGTCAGCATTTTCCAGAAAGTGAAAGCGACGCCTGCCCCAGGTCCTGTTTTGATTCACGTTGTGACAGAGAAAGGGAAAGGATACCCCCCAGCAGAGGCAGCAGCTGATAAAATGCATGGTGAGATTGGAATTTGTTCGTCAGAGAGTTGTGAATTGTGATTGACAGTTATTAATGTTCCTATTTCTCATTCATTCAGGTGTTGTCAAGTTTGACCCAAAAACTGGCCAACAGTTTAAGCCGAAGTCTCCAACACTTTCATATACCCAATACTTTGCTGAATCCTTGATAAAGGAAGCTGAAATGGACAATAAGATAATAGCTATTCATGCAGCCATGGGTGGAGGAACGGGTCTAAATTATTTCCAAAAAAGGTTTCCCGAACGCTGCTTTGATGTGGGGATAGCTGAACAACACGCTATTACATTTGCAGCAGGGTTAGCCACAGAAGGTCTCAAGCCATTCTGCGCTATCTATTCATCATTCCTGCAACGTGGCTATGATCAGGTGAGACAATAACAGTAGAAATGAACACGCCAAACTAAAATGTATCTTTCTTATGTGCTGGTTCATTGCTTGTAAACTATCATCAAATAATCTCACAGCTGTGATTTATAATCGAAATGAAGGTGGTGCATGATGTAGATCTTCAGAAACTACCTGTCCGCTTTGCTATGGATAGAGCTGGTTTGGTTGGTGCAGATGGACCAACCCACTGCGGAGCATTTGATATCACATACATGGCCTGCTTGCCCAACATGGTGGTCATGGCTCCATCTGATGAAGCGGAACTGATGCACATGGTTGCAACAGCAGCGGCGATAGATGACAGACCAAGTTGCTTTAGATTCCCGAGGGGTAATGGAACTGGAGTCATTTTGCCCCCCAGTAACAAAGGAACCCCACTTGAGGTTAGCATAAATAAACAGCAAACATTTTCCTTACAGAATGTTGGATACGCAATCAAATTCAAACATGTACGGCTATGCAGATAGGAAAAGGCAGAATGCTGATAGAAGGTAGCAGGGTTGCTATATTAGGATACGGTTCTATAGTTCAACAATGCCTGCAAGCTGCAAAAGTCCTCCAAAGAGAAGGCGTTTCTGTGACTGTTGCCGATGCTAGGTTCTGCAAACCGTTGGATACTACTCTCATCAAGCAACTAGCCAAGGAACATGAAATCCTCATCACGGTCGAAGAAGGATCTATTGGAGGTTTTGGATCTCACGTGTCACAATTCCTAAGCTTAGTTGGTATCTTGGATGGACCTTTAAAGGTAAATCCTCCAATACATGAATGGTCTACCTCTTCAATAGTTTCATTGCAAGGTTTCCATTCCTGCATCTCCCTCATTCATCCTGTTCTGGTTTTCATTTGTACTTTGCCTGCAGTGGAGGTCACTGATGCTTCCCGATAGATACATCGATCACGGATCACCCCAAGATCAGATTGAAGAAGCAGGACTGTCATCAAAGCATATTGCTGCAACAGTCTTGTCTCTTCTGGACAGGCCAAAAGAAGCTCTTCTGTTCAAGTAAAATCACATGGAACGAAATTCACATCATCAGACTAAAACATAAATCCTTATAAGACTTGAAGTTAGCTCTGCAAGTGGAACCTGCAAAAAACTGCCCTTGTAAGCCACTTCATGAGTACTTCTGATCTGAATTAACACCCCCAGTGAGCCCACATCTTAATGCCCCTATAAGTTGTAACTAAAGGAACTAGTACCTTACTTTTTGTACATTAATTGAATGACAATAATCACAAATTAAGAGACCAATATGCAGTACACAGGTCACCAAAATTATGATTTTAAGTCAAGCAACAGTAGGCTAATCTCTAATAAGAAGCAAAAATACAAAAATCTTTGGTTGTGATCTGAAATCTGGGACATGTCAATCGTTATCTTGATGTCAAGTTATAGTCAGTGTAGTGATTTTATCACCAACATTGACACAAATATCAAAGGATATTGGTCTATGAATTATGATTAACCAAACTTGCTGTTGATTCAATCATTTTAAAAAAATACAACACCCACAGAAGCACGAGAAATTACAGCTCAATTCTCTAAGCATTTCTCTAAGCCAAGGCTGCAGGGACATGCTTAACAAATACAAGCCTATATCCTTTAGAGAGAGTCCATTCACATCTTCAATGATTGCATAGCTTAACCCAACTACTTCCACCAAAAGTTGGCATAACATTTACGGAATTAAGGTAAGTATGTAAGAAGAATTTTATTTTGGCTTATATGAAACGTGCTTATAAGTGTTTATGAACATGATTCCAAACAGGCCATAAATATAATAAGAGGTTGTCTTGTTAATCCATAAGAAAGTTAAAAATAAAAAACCCAAGTGACACGCAAATCAAATTCCAATTCCAATATCTCTTAACAGATTTCACATTGATTATGAAAGAAAGCATATGCATCTACATACTACCTCCGGTCCTAATTATAAGACCCAATTGATTAATTTGGGGAGATCAAAGAGCTTAGTTGAGTTAATTATTTGTAATGAATAGGTGTTGTTTTTCCTAAAATATCCTTGCTAGTCAAGTTTGTTATCTATAACTACTATTATTAGAAGGATTATCATGGAAAAAAATTGGATAAATATGAAAGACAAAGCAGATTGGGGTCTTATATTTAGGACCAAAATAAAAGTCAAACAGGGTCTTATAATAAGGACCGGAGGTAGTACTCCCCCCCTCCCCCACTTTACAGGCTAGCATACACTAAGCATAAAAAAATTGGCCACCAAGAAGGGATGCTTATAACAAATATTCATCTCTTAAAACTTTGCACGAATTTTCGCTTGTGAACATGTGAAGGAATCAGATAAAGTTCATTACATGCTCATCTAATAAAACTAGATGGAATTTGCAATCCATTAAATACCGGACTCAACTTCAATAACACGAATAAAGTGGGAATCTAAAGGGAAACAGAGATATAACAAATAGGATTCACCAATAATCTCCACAGGAACAAATCCCCCCTTTAAAATGATGGAATCTCTTAGCATCTCTGGCAATAATCTCTCTCCCACTTAGTAAAGAAACAAATTTAATCCAATTGTGACAGTCGCCACAAACTCTAAGATTCTTAAATATCCTGATGCTACTAGTCCTACCATTAGTCTTCCACAAAGTAAAAGCTATGGCCAGTTTTTCACTATGATAATATAAAGAAGTTATCTTTTTCTCTTCTTCTATATCCTGCATCACAAATTTTGTATCAGGATTGTAACCCAGCGTTTTAACCTTCTCGATCAATTCAAGCAACGTTTCACAAATTTCATGAGCTCTTGGGTGAGACAAATCTCCAGCCATAAAAGTATGAACTTCTCTATCAACGTCGACCCAACTCATTGCAGGATTTTTCTTCACTTTTAAATCCCTTATTGTGCTTTTCATCTGAATAACCTGGTTCCATTTTCCTGCTGAAGCATAAAGATTTGACAAGAGAATATGAGTGCCCTCGTCCCCAGGAGCAAGCTCAAGTACTTTCCTCGTAACTCTCTCTGCCATATCCACCTCTCCGTGATTCCTACATGCGCTTAATAGTGTCCTCCATAGGACCACATCTGGATTTCTCACTTCCTCTATTAACATTGCAGCCTCTTCAAATCTCCTGCATCGTCCTAGCAAATCAATCATAACAGCGTAGTGATCTCTGGTTAACTCAATTTTGTGATTTTTCTCAATGGACGCAAATATTTGGCAACCTTCTTCGACTAATCCTGCATTGTTGCATGCCAAGAGGATACTTAAAAACGTTACACCATTTGGCTCAAGTCCCAAATATTTCATCCTTTCGTATAGCTGAAGTGCCTCACGTCCAAAACCATTTTGAGCACAAGCGTAGATCATTGAATTAATAGCCACTATATCTTTCTCAGTTAATACATCAAAAACAGATCTTGCTATGTCCGTACTTCCACATTTTCCATACATCTTGATCAGTGCAGCACCGACATACTTATCATCATAGAATCCCTTCTTCGTGGTTAGGGCATGAATCTGTTTCCCGATCTCAAGCATTGCAAGGTTTGAGCAAGCCCCAAGAACGCTAGACAATGTGAATGAATTTGGATTTATTGAACAACGAATCATTTCTCTGAATATCAATAAAGCGACCTCTTCTCTACTATTTTGCACAAGACCCACTATCAGAGAAGTCCAAGTCACCTGGTTAGCACTAGCCACCTGATTGAAAACCTTCACGGCATCATCAACCATGCTACACCTTGAATACATAGTAAGAAGTGATGTTTGTGAAGCAACCGCAGATTCAAGACCAGACTTAATGACAAGGCTGTGAATCAACTTACCTTTAATTAAACTCCTCAGACTACCACAACTTATCAAGATGCTTGCAAGAGTATACTCATTAGCCTTAATTCCCAGTTTGACCATGTCCTCAAAAGCTTCTAAAGCCTCCCTATGGTGGTCATGCTGCACATAACCAACAATTAATGCCGTAAACAAGACAACATCCTTCTCCAAAACACGACGACACACCAAATGGGCATCCCTCATGTTATCAAACTTTGCATACATATCAACAAGAGCACTAGCAACAAATCCATTAAAAATTTCAAAACCCAATACCACTGACAACCCGTGAGCCTTCTGGCCTTCGCGCAGAAGACCTAAATCTGGAAATACCTTAAAAATATTTGAAAAAGTGTAATCATCAGGCAAAACTCCATCGACAAGCATTTTCATAAATAACTCAAGGGCTTCTTTACTCCAACCATAGCTGACATGAGAAGATATCATTAAATTCCAAATTACTATATGTCGTCTAGGCAATTCATCGAATAGCCTGCGTGCTTCAGCAAGCCCCTTGCACTTGATGTAGCCATCAATGAGCTTATTGCCTAAAGAGAGGTATGAAACACCAGATTTGATAATGTGGGTCTGAACTCCTCTGATACCCTTTAAGAATTTTGTGTCGATGTATTGTTCAATCAGAGAAGAATAGAACTGCGTGGCCTCGTTGATGCTGGAAGCACTAGTGTTCAAGAAGGCGTTAAAACAGTGATGAGCAATATGAAACGTTGAAGGATAAACGAAGTTAATAAATAGTTTCGGTCTTCCTCCTGTCCCACCTGCTTGAACGATCCAATTCAAACTCATTCGTACAGAAAATAGCGTTGTTTCTTTCCCATCAACTGCTCAAGAAAAATGAATTTTTTAAGTGCAGAAAAAAGTTCACTCTTTTGAATAAAAACTAAATAACAAATGAGAATATCAGAGCATCATGGAGTATCAAGCATATATGTAGGGGCTCCCTAGTCCATATTGACAATTTGAAAGCCCCCAGGTCCACAACGGAGTATGCGTATCAGTATGTGTAGATCTGTATATACCTTCACGCTCATTGACTTGAGAAGGGAATTGCCATATTTTTAGCGACTTTCTCCACTTTCAATTCTCCGAAATGCTTTTCCTTATGATGAATCTATAGTCTTATGCAGGGCTTCCAATTTATGCTGTCACTTTCTGCGGTCAAGAGCAGACGGAATGTCAAAAATCACTTGAAGCTCGTATACATAGTACACGCATGCGTTATGGTCTGATTCTCCAAATTATTGGAATATTAATTAATCTTATATTGGGCCCAGAGCCCATATTAACAGAACAGCGGTATCCAGTCTGAATTGGGTACAATATTTCAAAGCAGGAAAATAACGTTTTGAGACTCACCAAACGGAAGAAAAGCTTCGGACGAAGGGCGAAGACGCACAAGTTTCTAGGGGCAGAACCACGGTCAAGAAGATGGCCGGTGCCCTTTTACAGTCCTCCAGTAAATATGGTCATAGGGGTGCCGATGAAAGATAGGCAGGCGGGTTAGATGGTGAAGCAATCGTAGCTTCTTGGAAGAACTACCAAAAGTACGAATGACAATGGCATAAAACTTAAAATTTTTTAGTAATTATTATTATTTTATTTGTTGAAAGACAGAAACCTTTGTGTTTATTTATTTTTTTTCTAAATGCAAACTTTTGCATTCTTAATTTATGACCTCCGGTTTTTAATATAAAAACTCATTTGACTTTTATTTTAGTCTTAAATATAAAATCTCAATTCACTTTATCTCTCATATTTATCCATTTTTTTCTAAAATTATCCTTATGATAATGCTAATTCTAACCAATACACTTAATTAATAAGAGTATTTTAGGAAAGACAACATATATTTATTATAAATAACTAACTTAACTAATTTTTTTAATTTGTTCTAATTAGTTAACTAATTTTTATATTAAGGATAGGAGTTAGTATATATATTGTCTTTTAAATTTATATCAAGTTTTATTTAATTTTTTAAATTTATAAAAATATATTTTCAGTTTCCCACTTTTATTATTGTTGACCTCACTAATAAAAATAGTTTGCAATAACAAACTTAGTTTGCGTGTACTTAAATGCTAACAAAATACTATATTAATTTTTAATTTAATAAAGTGTTAAAATTTAAGAATGTTTATAAATTTAAAAGATTAAATTGAAATTTGATATAAATTTACGGTTTAGAAAACATATTCTAATTGTTTCTTTTCAAAAGTGAGAATTCCATATTAATTCCCAGAACCATTCTTATTTTAATACCAACAAAAATTACGGTCTTATGCTTCAATAAATCTGATTCAACAGTTTTATGCCATTTGAGAAAAATACGTAGTGTCTAGAAAATTGATTTCATGAGCAGAAAGTATTTTAGAATATACAAATAATCAATGAAATTTAAATGAACTGAAAAATGAATAAGTATGTGAAAAACATATATTAATACGTGAAGCTAAAGCAATGCAATCCTCACAAGTTTCTTTTTTTTCTTTTCTTTTTTTGCCAACAACTCACAAAGTTTCATATTTTGTGAATAATTCGACTTATTTTAAATTTTATATAAATATAACATGCAGGCAATTTAAATGAGCTGAATATTGATATGACTGAGCATATTCTGTAAAGTTAACATTCTTCTTTTTGCACTCATTCAAATTTCTTTCGATGAATGAATTAATAAAAAAAATTACACCGACATCTAAGGTATCACATCTCATCATCTTATCCATTCATCTGACTGTGGAGATAACTTAAGGCTTCTAGAAATTCAACGTAAATAAAGTTGAGAATACTAACTGATCTATGAAGGAATTAAACCAAATCTTAGAGGCGAGAGCACAAAAGAATTCGAGCATGTAATGAACAAGAAACCTCATAAAATAGCTATTAATTTAATCCTCATCTTTCTTTTATAACTTAAAAAGAGAAGGGGGGATAAGTTAGACCAAAACTATTTTAGCAGGGAAACACTTCACAACAAAGCACTATCTAAATGAGAAGTAGTACTGAATGATTCGGTACTCACAAGGTAGTGGTGTAATATATTTAAAAACACGCACTGCTTGTGTCACCTACGAAGTTGAAACCCCAGAACTGGTGATCATCTAGCAGCCTTTTCTTCCATGAGCTGCTTTGAGAGACAGAGACTAACTTGCCGGTGTTCTTTCTCCGGCTTGGATGAAGGCCTGAAGCAAGCTCTGTGCTGCAAAGGTTTGATCAGGTGTCCCAGATATGACAACCTTTCCTCCAGTTTCACCAACACAAGGATCAAAGACAGTAACATTCGCACCAGAAATCTGGTCCCCCTCATAGAGAAGAGAAAAAATGGAGCAACTGGTTAACCATATGAGGGTCATTTTAAGGATGCAGTTGAATTAATACATGCATAAGTTCAAGGTCCACATCTGGATATACGCATGCATTTTCAACGTTCCAGCGTAAATATTTGATAATATCATATGGTTCTCTTTGGTTGAGAGAGATGTTCATGCCGAAGCAAAGCAGAGAGGACCGCCAGCTTGCACTGGTCCATAATGCAGCTGAAGTCCTAGCATATTGTGGTTTTAATTTTTCAAAGCTTTTTCTAATGGAAGTATGGACTATGAACGTAACAATATCAAAGGAATTTTTGTGTGTGTGTGTGTCTTTGTTTTTGGTTTTTTTTTTGTTTTTTTTTTGGGGGGGGGGGTACTCCCTGTGCTCCTAAATACAAAGTTTTATAAACTAATTCGTAGAATCCCAAGAAAAATAGAAGCAAGTAGGCAGGCTGGTTGTTTGTAATTAACATGTAGAAAATCTGTTATACTTTTCCAAGCCCTGCCGTTTGATGATTTAAAAAAAAAAAAACTTAATACAGAGAAATAAAAATGCCCAAATAAATATGAATATTATGGGAAAGAAAATTTAATGAGAGACGATAGAGTATGACCTTGTACTTCGGACCAAACAAAAACTCTAAAGTGGATAGGACCGGAGGGAGTATTTATTTTATTTATGTTGGCGGTTACATATAAATAAGCATGAGAACAACTTTCTAAATTTAAATTAGAAGAAATAAGTGATAAGACAGAATATGTGATTATATAAATCCTTATTAAATAACCAATGATGAGATGATAATTAATGTAAATAACTAAGTAAATACTTATGAAACATTCTAACAGTAGCACGAGACCAAGCTTCTCATGAGTAGCACTAGTTAAGTCTTAACTCCCTTTTTCACTTGAATGACAGATTCCTTTTCTTTGTTATCCAATTGAAATTAATAGATAACATATTTTCTTTAATTATCAAATTGACCGAATTACAACAGTCAGTATGAGTGTTCGGCTTCACCTTGAAAACCTCCAAAACCATGATTTTGGCGGAAGCAATTTTTGGTGGTTTTCAATGTAAAACCAAACATGCATTTGTATACAAGACAGGAAAACTGAAGTACTAATTAACATGAAATAGCAATAAATATCTTTGGGACCAATCAAGTACCTGTCTGATTCGATCTACATTACCACCATCTTCACCATAAACAGAGCCAAAAACATGTTCAGAAACTGCAATTTCCACCGTAGTATTTGTTACAGTAGCAAGTTTGTTCCCTCTGCTAAAACAAATTCATCATGAAAAAGTTCAAAGAGTAAAATGTCAGAAGCTTATAGGTTCGTGGGGAAAAAAAAACTTGTTTATTTCACTACAGGTAACAGATTTCAATGACTCCAAACACATCAAGAAAATCAGGATAAGTTCGGCTTGGCATCAAAGAGCTTGGAATATAGTTGCAAAGCACTGATTTAGTCTTTAATTTCGGCTGTTGGCAAAATAATAATAATAATAATAATAATTTGGGCTATTTTCAAAATTACTTTTGTTCACTCTAAAATATGAGCCTTCTAATTTATCATATAGTCCCCATCAATCCATTTCTATGAACATTGTTGACGACAAACTTCAGACTCATCCCCGTTTGCATCCTTCATGATATCAACTCAAATAACATAGTTACATAAAAAGCAAGCTCTCTGTAGCAGAACATTCGAGCAAAAAGCAAAGTGACTGCATAGTGGAGGTGAGCACAATGTTCATTGCCCAGCTTTTCTGAGATGAAATAAAAAGGACAGGACGAACGCCTGTGCACTCTGTTTGCATTATACTGACCTCCCAACTTCCAAATTGTCATATAAACGCATGAGGGTTTTTTCATTCTCTGAGATTGACCCAGCTCCTTCATTCTGCAATAAATAATAACTACTGCTAAACATTCTGGTCTTGTAGCCTTGAAGGGACAATGCAAAGGGGTGATGAAATTATGGAAATCAGTTAAGATTTGAGTAACTACAAAAGAAGGGAGAGAATACCTGTGGCAGCAGTCTCCCTGATGAAAGAGCTAATTTCCCATTGGCAAAGAGATCATCCCTAAGAATACCAGTTACTTTATAGAGAGCATTTATTACACATCTGTACTCACCAGCGATCTGCAAAAATTCAGCATAAACTTCACTAGGAGACAGCAATAAAAGACTGTTGAGGTCATAATAAGAAATTCAGTATTTCCAGGCTGCTTGAATGCCCTATTTGTTAAACAATTTAGCAAAATAATATGTTTGATACCAAATAAAGTCAAACCTTGTCACCCAGGAAAAAAGTCAAACCTACCCTGAAAGGAAAGAAGTTGATCTATTCCAGACAAAAAGCTAATAAAACAGGATTGGAAGACACCAAAAGTCAGGTGTATAAACATGTTCAGAAGTACCCTTGAAACACACCTTATAGACATTTGGTCTTAATTATACGTAAATTTTATCTTCTTTGCGTATGTTCATGAGAGGCAATATATCTGTCCATTTCTTTCCCTATCAAATAGTTCAATCTATACTTCGTCAATGCAAAGTTATTGATTCGCCATAAAATCAGACCCAATAGTTTCCATTTTCCATCTCACGGAAAATGCCTTCTTCCCGATTTCCATTATCCCTCTCTAGGTAAACAAGCGCTGGACCCGAACTTGTGGTTAATAGCTATACAATTATTTACAAGCATGGTAACTTGAATTGGATAAATAAGTAACTGTACCTGTACAACCATATCATCATCTGAAACACCGCATGAAACCTCCTCTCCACGCAGTATTTGTATATCTGCACCAGTTAATTCTCTCAATTCTGAAATCACCTGACCTTCATTGCCATTCAAGCAAGTAACCATGCTGGGTGCAATTAAAAGCCTCATAGCTACAGGTGATTCCATGGTACCAACTGAGACAATACCCTTTCCAATGTGATCTTCAATCATTCTAGCGAAGACAAGAATAACTGCCTCTTGTGCAGGAGAGTTACTAGATCCAAGGCTCTAGATTTTTTTTTTTTAAAGAAAAAAAACCACGTCAGTAATTGAGTACAGAGATCACAGCAGTAAAAGTTTGTGTCTAGATCCGTCAATGCATGCATAATAGATCCTCTGGATATACTATGAGCATAAAATCATTAGTGCCTTTCTTGCATGACTAACCTCTATCGCAGAAATGGTGACAATGCGATCAGCAAACTTGCTTAAAGGAGGTGCAAAGATAATGGAAGCACCTGTTTTGCTTTCAAGTGCTCTTACTATGGCCCCTTTCTTGCCGATTATACTTCCGGCTATTCTATTAGAGCAGAGTAATCGGAACACAACTTTAAGTTCTCCACCTTCTGGAGCAGGGCTAGACTCTCCGTTAGCGTTTGCTGTTTGATCCGATGTGTCATATTGCGATCTCCCTTGCATAGGGAGTAACCATGAATTAAGGTGAGGAAAAAGTTCAGTCTCTGGAACATGGGATGCCTTCTCAGGAGGGCTTATGGTCGGCGTGCTGGATGCTGTTAGAACTTTGTCTAGGGGCGGACAATCTTGAAGACAGTGTGACACAGCGATTAGTGCCTTCTTTACAGCCAAAGTTCTACCAGTTATCTGCCAGTTGAGCAACATCCCAAACGAGGAAAAATATATCTTTTTTCAGTGAAGCATCGGCACTATTTATAAAGTTTCTAAAGGGGACACATGAAATTCAATCTACACAAATCCTCAAAGTTCTAAAAAATCAATAATTAGGCCCTTTCTTTTCTTTTTTTTCTTTCAAAATATTCACTCTTCAACAAGCTCGAATCAAATTTAGCTTAAAAATGGTGCATGTGTTAACCTCAAACTTTCTCTCATCTGTCACCATTAGCGTTCATAAAAAATCTAGGAAAGACGGAATGTTGAGGTATGAAGTACAAAATGGAGATAACCATAAAGTACCTAAGCATAAGCGCACACACATGAACAAAAATATACGAATTTAATGTTTTTTTCTCCATTTTAATATATACTATGAGAAGTTCCGCTTATTCGTTTCCGATTCAAAATTCTCCGTAAATAATAACCCGAAAAAAAGAAGAAAAAAACTCACTTGAATCATTTCCTCGTTTATAGCAGCACATTGTGGAGGACGCAAAATCCTTATTTTAGCGCCGCTATTATTTCTCATCGTCGTTATGTGTTTTCCCCCTTTCCCCACAACCGCGCCAATCTGAGATGTGTGCGCCAGCAGCTTACACCATACCTCCTCATTCACTGCCTTGCTAACACCACCAGAACCTTTCTCGGCCTCCAATTCCCAAACCCTCTCAAAAACCCTAAGAATAGCTTCTTGAGCATTCGAAACCTCAAGTTCTGTTTCACAGCCATCATCCTCACGAGTATTACCGACCAATTTTATAATTTTACATGGCGCCGCCGAGCCTATCACGAGAATGACCCGATCATCCGTAGAGGGAACCGAGTCTATGCAATGAATTTTGCAGGAAGTCTCTCGCCGGAGCTGGGACACGATGGCGCCAGAGTTTCCGATCAAACCGCCGACGACGGAGGCGTAACAAACAAGGCGAAAAGCTGTCTGCCCTGCTTGTACTTTGAATACGGGTCGTTTCGTATGGTTATTGCGCTTGGTTTTTGGTGAGTTGAAATGGGTTTGATGGTCGTGATCACCACCGGATTTGGGCTTTTGCATGGTGGAAACGGCGTCGATGGAAATCGGCGAACGCGGCGGAGGGAAGCTCGCAAATTTCATCTGTATGAGAGACCAAGCGGAACAAAACTTCGAGTCGAAGAAAAGGGGAATGGAGACAAGCGCGCACCTTTCATCTCAGCGGGTATTTATTAGAGCAGAAATGGAATTTGGGTAGGGAATATCAGAGGCGTGAGTATCGCAGTGATGTACAATTGATCGCAAACAGCGTAAACCACAACGTTACTGTGAGTAGCGCTCAGACGGAGTGAGTGAGAGAGAGAGAGTGGACGACGGAAAGAAGTCGGAGTTAAAAATTAGTGGCTTGCTTATTGTTGAAGATGCTTCCGGCTTCTAAAGCGCGCGAGTGGAAGAGTGGGAGTGGCTGATGCGACGGTACGACCAAAAACCCGCCAATTATTAATTAATCTTTCATATTAATTACTAGTATTTTATTTTGACCAGTAATTACTACTATTTTCTTAAAGCATCATTAGGTAGTATAGCGACTCGTGATTAATTCTCCCTCTGAATTGACTTAAAAGAAATATTTTTGTAAAATATGTGAAAAGAATTTTGTTAGGGAAAATATAAAAATACTACTTTCAGTTCTTGATATAAAATCCCATTTGACTTTTATTTTGATCTTATATAACCACTTTATCTCTTATATTTATGTATTTTTTTCCAAGGTAGTTTTTTAACAATGATAATTTTAGCCAATACACTTGATTAGTAAGGATATTTTGGGAAAGAACAACACATATTTATTACAAATAACTAATTTAACTTCTTTTCTTAATCTCCTCAAATTAATCAACTAGTTTTTATAATTAAGATCGGAGATAGTAGTTAAAATCCAAAAAGCGAGTATCCGTGTGATAACAAACAATGTGTGTTTTTTTCTCCACTTAAACATTGTCTTCAATCTTCATAGTTGACTAATAAATTGTTCTGTTCTCACGTGCTATGTATTAGTCATTCGATTATTTAATGTATTTAGTGGTATTAAACACCTTCACTGGAGTGTTACCAGATAACCCTCGCCTTCCCACGCTTTCTGGCTCGTGATCCGAACAAAAAATATAAAATGCTGCTAATATTTGCTCTCAGCACAGTGTGTCTCTTGGGATTAAGAAGTTGATGATTTTCAATTAGGGGGAGCGAGACTTTTAATTAGCGAGGCGTGGATTGATATTTGATGATTGGTCCTTCTCGTCTTTATGAGTTTTATATCAAACTCAACTATAATTAACGAAGTGGATGTTTGTTTATTATTTATAGTCAAGTCCAAAATTTAATCATTGTAGGGGCCAAATAAAAAAAATGCCATTTACTTTATTCCTTCAATATTTTATTGAGGTAATCTTTTTAATAATAAGGCCAAAGTATCACGCCTTATATACTCCTGTTCTAAGAACTATTTAGTAGATTAAAAATATAAATTAATTAATTAATTTAGTAAAAATGGACATGATCTCTCTAAATAAAATACTCCTACGTAACATTATTATATATCAGTTTATAGTTTAGATAAATTAGCTTAGAGGGAAATTATAATTTTCAAAGATAAAATAGATTAAAGTTTGTCAAGTTTATAAGGTAAGGAGAGAGAAAATTTTGGTCCCATTGATAAGGTAGAGAGAAATTTTTTATATGAATATATAATCATGTCATTCATTTATTATTGTGTTAACTTTATTCTTATAGAATACTCTCTTATTTAATATAAAACATATTTAACTAATTTGATTAAATTAAAAAAGTTATGTAAATTAGTTAATTATAAGAAATATGACGTGTTTTTTTTAAAATATCATAATCATTTTTTAATATCCTCCCTCCGTCACCTACTTAATTATAGTTAAGAGAATATCCATAGAGGTAATTTAGAAAAAATTGATAAATATGATAAATAAATTTTATATCTATGATCAAAATTAACTTAATAATTACGTCTAAAAAAAGTATAGTGTATCTATATAAAATATGTTGAAAATGACTTGTCAATATCAACCAAAAAAATATCAAAGACTAAAATCGATTTTCTAATTATCTCCTATGCCTAGATTTATCAATTTTCTAACTATTTCCTATTTTATATCCATATCCATTCCCATTTCTATCAAAATCAATTTCACCGTACCAACCGGGGCATTATTCCTCCAGTCTGAGGAATTCTGAGGGGGTTGGCAACAAAAAAAAAAAGAGTTTTGTGAGGGGGGAAGAAAAACAAAGAGGGGGTGACGTGTGAGGCGGGGCAGGACCCATTGATTGAAGTCAAACGTGTAAAGTCAATAATGGGGTCCCAGCTCTCCCACTTGTATTGACCTTTTTCGTCATCCAAACGTCAATTACACAAATATCTTTTTCTTAACTTGCTTATTCCTGTCATCACTGCTGTAGAATTTTCAATCACGTGTCCTGTATAATTTACGCACTTTTAATCCTTAGAAGTTAGCGAGAAAAAAATGTCAAATTTTAAGTAAATTACATCATCACATTAACTTTATGCAGTAAAATTGGCATGATTAACATGCAATAGAACGTAATCCTCAGTCTACTATAAGTGCGGAAAACAAATGCTGAAATTTAAATAATTCAGCATAAGAATGATGAACCTTGAAGAAATGATTATGGGGGCCGAACCAATAAAATTTTCACATGCATGGTTGAACTGGAACCCGTAATCGTGCGAATGAAGAGGCAGATTTTTACCAATTGAATTAATTTTAGTTGGCGACAACCAGCTACAATGACGTGATTTACTTTGACTTGACCTCGCTTTAGGTCTCAGCTCAATAACATGAGTTCCTTAGTGAAAAATTTTATAAGTATTGTGAGGTTTATAAGTATAAAGGGTTTTTATTCCTAATAAACTAATTTTTTGATATTAAATTCTCTCTTTGAATTTATGCTCATCACATTGATACTTTTATTAAAAGTTTAATATTCAAGGAGAGAGTTATTTGCAAAGAATTCTGGCCAGCAGGAGGTCAACTATTCATTTTTTGACCGTTCAAGTGCAGCGGGGGGCACAGCTTGACTCCTTGAGGTTGGATTGGGCTAGGCAATGGGAACCCACTAAGTTTTATGCAATTCGGTCAAGCCCAAGAAGAAAAAAACAGATGGAGAAAAAGTGAAAAGCAGGGTTTCGTTTATGGGTATGATACAGTGATATGCTGGTTGCATAACAAGGAAAAAGGGAAAAAAGAGAGGCTTTTCTTTGTCAATAGCAACTTTTTTTATCATAACTTATCTAAAAAGGCTTCTGCACTTATCACATGCAGATACATACAAGCCCTTATACGATTGGGCCAATCATATGTACGGGTACGGTAGGTGCCACAAATGTCATCCTAAGATACTTTCAACACGCTCTGTATATATTCAAAAAAGTTTTAGACTGTATTAATTTTTTATTAAGATATAATAATTTTTTTAATTTTATTTTTACTTTATATCTACATTTTTGAAAAAAAAACTATCTATAATATAATAAATAAAAGACAAAATAATGTATTCATACTAAAATTAATAAAATGACTTATGAATAAGAACAATAGAAATATTCTCTCTACTATCTGTATTTAGGTTAATAGGAATAATTGGGATTGTAATTGCAATTGAGAAAATATATTAAAAGAGTGTTTAGTATAAGAGATTGTTTGTTATATAGGATTAGTCAAACTCATGTATATGGGATTGGAGAATACTATGGGGGAAGTAGTATTCCTTAATCCCACCTCTATGGGTTTGCCTGATCCCATATACTCCTCTAGTCCTATTTATAGGGCAGAGAGATAAGGTATTTTTTGGTCCTATTTATAGGACACTGAGAGAAATTTTTTGTATAGATGTACAATTTTACCCCTCATTTATTATTGTATTGACTTTGTTTATATGAGGTATAATGTACATTAAATAAGAATAAAGTTGAAAAGCCATTAAATTTTAAATAAGAGTTAATGAAGTTTAAGGTTTTTCTTGGTCTGTGTGAAACATGTTGAAAATGCCTTATAAATAGGACTAGAAGAGTAATAAGCAACTACTCATACTAAATACTACCTCTGGCCCTTAATATAAGATCTCGTTTGACTTTTATTTTAGTTCTATATATAAGACCCCAATCCACTTTTTCTCTTATATTTATATTTTTTTTCAAGATAGTCCTCCTAACAATGGTAGTCATAACCAGTATACTTAATTAGTAAGGATATTTTAAAAAAGACAACATATATTTATTACAAATAACTAATTTAACTTCTTTTCTTAATCTCCTCAAATTAGTCAATTAGCTCTCATAATTAGGACCAAAAGTAGTATTATTTTAATGATTTTTTAATTGTAATCATAATTTTAATCCCACATTTTTAATGCTTCACACCAAACAGAACCTTAGGATATTTATGAAGGATTACTGTCATGCTGGGAGCTGGGGTTCAAGAAGCTGGGAGTTGAATTAATGAAGAGAGATTGGTTAGTTTATGTCACACATGTGCACAGAGAACCCAACCGATACGCCGACATGCTCGCTGCTCTAAGCATGGGGCAAAATCATACAAGAAGTAGATTGGGAACGTCCCGCCTAGAGCTGCTGAGATGATTTTGAAGGTTGCTCCAGTGGTGGCAGTTTTTATCCCCTGTAGTTTTGCTAGTTTGTTGGGCTTGGCTCTTCTTTAGGAAAAAACATATATATGAAACACATATTGGGCTGGTAGGATGTAGGGAATGGGCCACTGTCAGGCCCATAAAGGCCTCAACGTGTGGCCGAGCTACTGGGGGAAACGGCTTCAATATCGCCGCGCCGCTTCAGTGAAGGATCGAAACATGCATTTTTAAGAAGATTAAAGGAATAACGATTAGAGTCTTTAAAGGCAATATTTTAATCATATATTATAGAATACGATGAAAATATGTAAAAACGAGTTTTATTTAAACATGCTTATATTAAGCTGCTAAAAATGATTTTTTTTGTTTGCTATTTTTTACCCAATGAAAAATAATTACATTCATATATTCACATACGGGCGGAACCTCATCTCAGAGATAATTTTTTACATTGACGATGGTCCAAACACGAAATTAAAGCCAAGGCAAATCATTAAAAACCAAATTCACGACAAGAAAAGACAGCGCAAATTTGGACATGCATTACCTGATAATGAATTCTGCCGCCCCCTTCTCTTAATATATTACGTGTTTTAGATTTCATCAAAAGACTACACATTTTAAAATTTTGAACAATATAATTATATATTAAACATCAAAATTATTCCATCTTTTAAGAGATTGATTGTTAC